GTAGGTGTCTCAGACAAGCAAAAAAAGGTATTCCTTCCCTCTCCTCCTCCTCCCTGCCCTCAATGTACAAGCCCACTCCCAGCCTACTCACTGTTGGGCATAGTGGTGGCTGTTCCTTTCTAGTCCCATCACTCCAGTCAGACTTGGAGATGCCTTGGACTACTTATATAAATTTGATCATCCCACATGTCTTGCAAGGGGTTCATTTTTGTCCATGATTCCTTCTTCTCAGGATCTCTTTTGTTCAAGGTTTAATTTAAGCCCATTCTTTCCTACCTCTGTACATATTTTCTATTTTCTGATTTGAGAGGGCTTGGCACAATAGTTAAGTTGCCTTGAAAAATGACTTTTCTTAAACTTTTTATTGATATAAACATACATATAGAAAACTACACATATCAGAAGTATACCATTCAAACCTTTTTTTTTCATTCTAGGAATTGCTAAGCAACACATTTATACTTGAGTTTTATTTTGATAAATATTTTAAATTATAAAAGTAATGGATCTGTGCTAGGCAATTTGAAAAATAGGCATAACAAAATGAGCATTTGAAATTATAATAATTCTATAAAATATACAACTAGTTTTACTATATTCTATATAAAATACTTTGATATAAAATATAAAACTAGTTTTACTATTTTAAAAACACTTATTTGTAATATTTATTATGCTCTTTCAGATTAACATTTTATTTTAGGTATTTTACCAATAATATCACTCAAACTATTTTTTTTCATACTATTTTAGTGACCAAGTAGTAATTTAGTCTATGAGTGTTAATTTATTTAACTCCTTTTTTTTAATTGAAGTCACATTGCACTACCTAATGTGTATCACTATAATCAATGTATGTACGTACTACATTAAGTACACCACTAAAAGTCCAAGCCTATCGTTCACAATACAATTGATCCCTTTTTACCTGATTTACCCACTCCCCCAGGTCATTTTCTTTTTTTTAGGATTTATTTATGCACAAGAACTGGGGTATAGGCCAGAGGTGTGTTGGGGTGAGAGGACTCACCAGAGACAGAGTGGGGAACAGAACAGGCAGACTGACTGAAATATACTGCTAAGGGGAGCAGTGGGCAAGTCAGGAGAGGTCTGCTGCGCCATGTGGGTGACTCCCTGGTGGGGGAATCCAACTCATGCTGCAGTGGCTGTGGAGAGCTTCACAGGTTGTGTCTTAAACCCTTGCGCTACCTGGGAGGCCCCTCCCCCAGGTCATTTTCAAAGGCAACACACCCATGCAGCCAGCACCTGGATTCAGAACAGAACATTACCTTTTTCTCAGAATCCTCCTCATACTTGTCTCCAGTTTATATCCTCCTAAGGGTAACCACTAATCTTGCTTCAGAAACTTATGCAACTCTTTTAACACTGTAAACCCAGAACCATGTTGTGCCAGGTACTCTATACAATATTATCATTTGTTCCTTTTGGTGGAGGGTAGCGTGCCTCTTCTCTGGTCAATTATCTTGGCTTATTTCCCACTCCGGTGGAAGAATGAAAGAAAGCTGAATTTCAATCCAGGTGCTACTGTTAGGGGGAAAGGACCCACAGTCAGGCACCCCGTTTTGTATCAGGATTGCTCTGCAACACTACCACTTAGCCCTGGACCTGGAAAATCCACCTCTCCCCACTTGAATCTTGGCAATCTAGTCTACAAAATATGTACAAACACAATCCAATTACAGGGTTGTTTTGAGGATTAAATGAAATTTCACTCTCTAAGCACCTGGTACAATGTGCCTGATTGCAATGTGAGCAACACATGGGGCACGTTCTTTATCAATGCAGGAGATAGGTAAAGGAGAGTCCTGGAGTTCTCAGTGGCTTTTTCAGGCTTTCAATGATCTTTCTACACCATTTTTAGTGAGGCAACAAGGTGCAGGGGGCCGGGGGGGCAGGATGCCAAGGGGCCAGGCGGCTAGCAGGCCTCCCAGCCCCTGGCGAATCTTTACTCTCTCTGGGCTCTCTGGAGTTCTCTCATGGGCTGCACCTTACCCCCACACCATCCTCTGTGTGGTGGTGTCCTTCTAGCACCAGCCTCCAGGCTCAGGTGTGCGCACTTACACATGCCCACACCATACTCTAGGTGTCTACCATCAGGCATGCGTACCCTGAGCCCACGTTCCCAAGTGCCTCCTGCATGCAAGGCTGCAGATGATAGCCTCAAAGCCAGTGGCTCAAAAGCCTGAGCAATCTTCATTTACCCTACACTGATTCATAGTAATAACCACTGTTACTGATTTTATTGTGTGCAGGCATGGTATGAGAGTTTTATGCATTTTAGCTTGTTTATAAGTTTAGCCAAATAGAATTCTCTGATTATCTGTTCTTTCTCTTACATCTCAGTAGTCAAAGGCATCACATATACCTAAAGATTTAGGTTCCAAATCTAGGCATTTTCTTCATTTGTCTTTTCTGCTTTCCACTCATCTAATTCATCAGCATATTTTGCTGACTTTATAAGAAAAGCTACTCATTCAGTTCTCTCAATTTTCAATTGCCACCATATTACTTCAAGCCAGCACCATTCCACACTTAACTATTTCCATGAGAATTAGGCTACATGTAAACAGGCTTCTTGCATTATTGATTATAGCTGTACCCCCAACATGCTGGGACCCAGAATAGTGATACCGGAATTGTCAGGCCTAGTCTCCCAGCCAGGAATGGATTCCAGGCTTCAGGGCAGTGCTGAGCCCCAGCCACTAGGCCCCCCACGGGTTGGTGTCTCACGAAGCCGCAGCAGGAACTTCGCAGACGCTCAGGCAAGCAAGCGAGAAGAGGCAGTTTGTTCAGAAAAAGAAAAAGTTTATTGAGGAGAAAAAGAACAGAAATAAAGTGGGACTCCCAGGCCAGGGAACCAGGCCTGGGAGGGGCAAGGAAGCCAAAGTGGAGTCGTGTCTCAGGGAATATAGACCTTTTTCCCTCATTATTCTAAAACTTCACCAGTCTCTCTGTGATTGGTTAGTTCTCGGCTGTCTCACTTAATTTGCTACTGAGTGGGGATTTTCACATTCCTTATTTAACAGCTTTCTCTTTTCCCATTTGTTGCATCTTTAAATTTATGGCCCAGTCTTCTGGATGGGCATCCCTGCATTGAAGTTAAACAGCTGCCCTTCTAATGTGACCATAAATTAAACCACTCTCCATTTCTCCAATCTCCGCCTCCCTTTACCACCTGAAGGAAACCAGGACCAGCATTAACAATGTTGTCCTTGGTCCTGGCATGTTTGTTTTTCCTAATGGAATTGGTTATATTTCTTTGGTTGTCCTTATCTCTGAAGCCTCCCTAAATTCTTCAGAGGTCCCCTTCTGCACTGTCCCTAAAACTGCCTAATAACCCTAGCTTGCCCTGTCTCAATAGGGCCTTGCTCTTCTAGGCATTTGGTAACTGTCTTGAATGAATACACATTGCAACAAAACTTTGAAATGGGTGCTATCGATGGGGTTTTGTAGAGTGTGGGGTCCTTGGGTTCACTCTGGGAAAGGTTTCACCAGATCTCCCGTTTTGGCGACAATATGGCGAGTTCCCCAGGCGAGTTTCTCCATGAGACAGAGACGTTAGTTATATTTAAAGAACAGGTTTACTAGGGAAAGGGAAAGGGGCAGATTTTGCTAAGAGAGGACTGCATGGTTGCAGGCGGGCGGCCTTGAGGAGAGAAGTCCCAGCATGGTACAGGTCATGGGCAGGCAGGAGGCTGCTGCCCTGCAGAGGGAGAGTTGGTGAAAGGAAGCGCCTGCATAGTCACAGGTGGGAGGACCAAGTTCTGCCCCACGCCTGTGCAGAGACTGCATTGATATAGTCCCCTTCTGTTTGGGAGGGGTCACTCCTCCCTGGAATGGCCTGTTTGTTGCCGATTTGGGATAACTAGGCAAAACCAGGAGGGGATCAGAGATTCCAGGGTGGGCCCAATCTCCATATCTTTACCCTCAGGCCTGTGCTCCACTCCCTATAGCAGTCTGATACTGCTTGGGTCTCATGCCTTGTGATAAGGCACAGGTGCCTGAGGGTCACGACCTCTACAGCTGGGTTAATGGTCATGTTATTTCCCTCGACCCCCACCTCCCTGTGAGTCAGGTTCTGGTCTTGGGGCACCTCCTTTCTAGTCTTTCTATTCTTGTCCTCCACCACTATTATTATTTCCATTTTCTAGGTAAGGAAACAGACTTGCAGTGGTCAAATAACTGTCACACAACAAATATCAAAATCAGGATTCAAATCCAGGGTCTAACTTTAGATTGTCCACTATGCCTTCAAGTTGAACTATACTGGCTTGTGCTGAAGTCAATTGCGAAGTTTTTAAGCTGATGTTAGGAGACATTTTAGTTGAAATTCCCTCACCTGAACACTTTTCTGCAAGTTTTCCTGAGAATAAAGTTCATGGTCCCCCTTCTCACGGCTTGGTAGATGCAGCCAGATCTGACTTCTCCAAATTCTCATTTCTCGTTGTTGACTTTTTCTACCAACCTTCCAACACTTCCTTTTCCAGCAAATGCTCCTTCCGCTATCAGAAACACCCCCTTCCCCCCATCTGCTTTAAAAAGCCCATTTCTCAATTTTGAGGGACTGTAACAGGCAGTACTTTATCCCAGCTAGCCCTACTGCACTAAAATTACTTGTTTCTGTCTTTATTGTTTGCTGTTCCAGTGCCTGGAATAGAATCGGTACTTAATAAATACTTGTTGAATAAAGCTATGAAAGGGTAAGGCTTATTTTATCACTGTAGAGGTGAAAAGACTCCTTTTGGCCCTAGGGTCAGTCATTAAGTTGCTAAGGTGAGTATGGAAACCACAGGTCCAAGGTCAGCCCCTCCAAATCGCCCCCCGCCCTCCTTGCGCTTCACTTCCGCTCGCGCCGACCAGCCCCACCTACCTCAACGCGCGCCCGATCCGAGACTAGTTTGACCCCCTGACGGCCGCCGTAGTGCGTCGCCCCCGTTGCCGTGGGAACGACCCGGGACTGGGAGGAGGGCGGAAAACGACGTTTCCCGCCGGCGGGAGCTGCGGTTGCGGCGGCGAGCGGGGCTCCGAGGCGGCCCGGCCCGGCGCTGCGGCACCATGGCGGACCAGCTTTATCTGGAGAATATAGACGAGTTCGTCACGGACCAGAACAAGATCGTGAGTGACGAGGACCGGGGGGCGCGCGCGCGCGGCTGGGGTCCTGGGCCCGGCGGGGGCGGCCGAGGCCTTGACCCCTTTGCGCGCAGCCTCGTGGGGCCGGCCCGAGGGGCGGCGACCCCCACGCCCCCCGTCCCGGGCGGGAGGGACTCCCCGAGGACGACCCCTGGCACTGGCGAAGCCGCGGCCCGTGGGGGTTCTGCGTGGAGCGGAGGCCGAGGGGCTAAGCGCGGGGGGCTGTCGTTGATCAAGGGGTCTCCACACCTCAACAGGTGGGGGGCGTTTAAAGTCGCAGCTTTACAGTTGAGGAAATTGTGTCGTAACCCGCTTAGGTGGCAAGTTGTGTAACCTTCCGACAGTCAGTTTCTTCTTGGAAATTTAGGTGTTGCTACAGTGTTGAGCTGCCTTACAGGATTGGCGTAAAAATCGAAGCGAAGCGATGGATGGGAATGCACTTTGCAAACGGTGGTGATTGGCCGCTGTGAGCCTGGGCAGTTTGATACACAGATTTTTTGCATTTAATCTTTATAGTGAACCATCCAGAGGTGGGTGGAAGTATTTCTAGAAGAGGCAGTTGGAACAGAAGGGCCAAATGACTTTATTTGTGGTTAGTAAAGGATAGACAGCTTTCCACCCTAGGTCTGTTCTGCTAATGCTGCGTTCGCCTAACCTATGTAAGTCTATTAATGAGCAGAAGTTAGCATTTAGGTTAGGAAGACTTTGAAAGGAGCGTGACAGGCATTAAAGGAAGTGACAGGTGAGAGTTCAAGGAAGGGTGAGAGAAAGAGTGCTACGTGACACCAGGTGTTTCCAGTCTAGCCTCTGAGAAAGCATTCATCCTCATTCATTTCCTGACCCCTGCACCACCTGCCTTTTTAATGTTTGACTGCAACTTTCCTTAGACCTACTCTTCAAAGTAATCTAGCCTGTGGGGGGGCGGGGGTTTAGGATAGTTTTTGGTGGTGCCTCCCCCCCCCAAAAAAAAAAAGGACAGAATGTGAAGGGAGGCCTTAGTAAAGTAAGGCGTGTGAAGAAAATGAGAACTCTTGGTCTTAGTATATTCAGTCTTTTAGACTCATTTGTGGTAATTGGTCTGTGGAACTGTAGGGGCAGGAAGGCCACTGAGCAGGCTTTCTAGGATCCAGCGGACCCGGTAAAGGAGGAGTCAGAGTCCTCAGTGGTTTTTGCAGGTCTTTTATTGGGATTTACCCGCTACACAGCAGGCAGTCCTCCCAGCCCCCAGCAAGTCTTCACTCTATCTGGGCTCTCCAGCCTTCTCTGCTTCTTTCTCCGCTTCTGCTGGCATCCCTGTGACGCCACCCTTAAAAGCCCAGTCTTAGCCCAGGTGAATCCCATCGACCTATGCCCACACCCTACTCCAGGTGCCCTCCATCAGGCATGCATTCAGGACTGCAAGGATCCATCATCTATCCTGATGGCGGGAGGGCAGAAAAGCCTGACATTTTTTCCTTACCCTACAGGAACAAATTCCTTAGTATTTGTGAGATAGATTATCTCAGTCCTACCTGCCAAGAACAATGGTTCTTGACAAAAGAGAGTGGCATCTGTGGTTAATTTAGAAAGTGTCATCTGACAGTAGGACTGTTTAGGATTATTGGGATTGATCTGCACTCTGGTGTCATCTAATAAAACATTAAAAAAATTTCTTCTTGCAGGTGACGTATAAGTGGCTGAGCTATACACTAGGGGTTCATGTTAACCAGGCCAAACAGTAAGTCCAATTTACTACTAATTTTAATTACAATGGAGTTTTTTTTTTTTTTTGCTTTGTTTTTAGCTTTATAGGTAACCTATAGGTTAGAACTAATTTTGAGGGGAAGGAGAATGGAAAAGAATACTATCTTTACTACCTTTTACCATTTTTGTTTTAGGAGCTAGGTGGACTTGCGTACAAATGTGTGGTGATACATTTACTAGCTTTAGCTGCAGCCTTGTCTCTGGTTACCAACACTTTCGTTGTTTTAAGTTTATTAAATGTACTGGCTAATTCTGTTTACATCTCCATTAACATGTCTATTATCTTACACCTTCATTTCATTTTCACAGGTGTTCCGTAGGCCTATCTCTGGGTACTCCCTAATGAGGTCAACAAGTATTTGGTATCAGAGCTATAATAGTATAAGATAGAGGAAAGCTTACTGAATGAAACTAAACAGGAAGTATTTAGGATGGCATGGAGCATTGCCTTTCTTGAATTTTGTCATATCATCTTTTCCTAGCTGAAAATTGTGCTCCAGCTTGAGGCCAAAACGTAATGAACTTGAAAATTTCTTGACTTACGCCTGTACAGGTGCTGTCTATGTCAAAAGGGGGAATTGGTGAGGAGGCTGAAGACACAGTTGACCCTTGAACAGTGCAGGCGTTAGAATATACTGAAATGAGGAACTACTTACATCTTGATTGGCATCTCATGGCAATATTAGCATCAGTATGGTGTTTTAATTTTTAACACTTCAGCTCATAATAGCAATGGGAAGTGGCTACAAGTATTACCAGTCCTGGCTTAAACCCATATGATGTTCGTGTAACTTTGGAACTGCACCTCTTAAGAATAATTTGTTGTGATTTAGGATGTTTAAATATGAAATGAGGTAGCTAATACTATGTAAGCCTGGTGGGGTTTAAAGATGCAATTTTTTTTTTTTTTGAGAACTGGAAATAAAGTTGCCGGCAGTTGTATCATGGCTACCCTTATTGCCTAGAATTTTTATACTATCTAGCTTCATCCCATGTTACTCTTTACCCACTTATATTCTAGCTATATTTACTTTTCTGTTCCTTCAATATGCCAAGCCCATTTTACCCTAGGACATTTGCATTATTCTCTCTGCCTGCGTACTCTTTTCCTAGCTGTCCTCATCCTTCAGATTTCAGCTCAAACTTCACACATTACTTATAACAGCTTTTCCCTAGCGCTCTGATTCAGGGCTCTCCATATCACCTTGTCATGTCCCCTTGTTAATTTTCTTCATAATTTTTTTTTGCATCATTGAGCTATAATTTAGATACCGTATTATTCGCCCATTTAAAATGTACAATTTAATAGGTTTTAATATATTCAGAGTTGTATGCCAGCGCTACAATTTAAAAAAAAATTTTGTCACTCCAAAAAGAAACCCGTGTATCCGTTAGCAGTCACCATTTCTCCCCCTTTTTCCTCAGCCCTAGGTAACCACTAATAAATTCTGTCCATAGATTTGCTTATTCTGGACATGTCATATAAATGGAATCATATCATGTTATCTTGTATATCTGATTTCTTTGACTTAATGTTTTCAAGATTTGTCCATATTGTAGTGTATATCAGTACTTCATTCTTTTTTATGACTGGGTTATATTCCATTATATGGTTTTTTCATTTTCTTAGGACTGTCCTAACAAAGTATTGCAATCTGGGTGACTTTTAAAAATTAATGTCTCACAGTTCTGAAGGCTAAATATCCAAATTTAAGGTGTTGGCAAGACCATCCTCCCTCTGAAACCCTTAGAGAAAAATCTTACCTTGCCTTCTGGCAATTTATTGATAGTGTCCTTTGAAGCACTGAAGTTATTTTTTTATTGTTGATGATCCAATTTACTTTTTTTTGTTTTTGTTATGTGTGCTTGTTAAATAGTATCTAAGAAAGCTTTCCCTAACCCAGGGCCATGAAGATTTCTTCTGTGTTTTCTTCTAAGACTTTCATAGTTTTAGCTATTACATTAATAATTATCACTATATTTAAGGTTTCTATGTATTATGTGTTTGCTAACATACTAAAAATCCTTCAGTCGTCATAATAGTATGCAATTAGTTTTCAGTTCAGGTTAATTTTAAATGAAGCACTAAAAAATGGGTTAATAGTTACTGTTTCTTCTACAAACAGTTTTATATGTGGTACAAGGAAAGAGTTCAACTAAATTCTTTTGCACGTGAATATCCAGTTGACCTAGCATTTCATACTTCTTATTACAGGCTGACATTTTATTGTATGTGCTCCTCCCCCCGGGATATAAATTCTGTGGAAGCAAGGAACACGTCTGTCATGTTTATCATTGTTCCAGTTACTTAAATAACCATTTTGTTATGTTCATAGAATCTTTTGGTCTGGAATCTAGGCAGTGCATAGGGAGAATGGTTTGCTTCTCCATGATGTCTGGTGCCTCCATTGGGAAGCTCGCAGCTGGAGCCCTGTCCTCTGTAGGCATCTTTATGCATGTCTGGCCATTAATGCTGATCATCAACTAAGGTTATTAGCCAGACATTGCATGTGGTCTGTCTGTATGTCCTGACTTCCTCAAAGCGTGATGACTCCTGGTTGTCATACTTCTTACACAGCAGCTCAGGGCTCCAGAAGCTGCTGTTGCAGCACAAAGCAAAAGTTGATTGCCTTTCCTGACTAGTGTCAGAAATCAAGCAGTGTCATGTCTGCTGCATACTTTTAGTTAAAATGAATCACTAGGCCTAGAATCACAGATCCTAGGAGAGAGGGTAGACTCTACATCTTTCTGGGAGGGTATAGAAGGGCATACAGGATGGGAGATGTTGCAGCCATTTTTGAAAGCACGCTGTACCACAATTATATCTTCAGTGCCTAATAATAGGTGCCAATAAGTATCTATTGAATAAATACTAATCACTGTGGTAGATTATTTTCAACGCAAATATTTATCTCATAATCTTTTAACAGTCAAATGTGATGGGTGTTATCAACTTCTAACAGATGAGAAAATAGAGACTTAACAGTATTCTGTTACCTTTCACCTCTGGTGGAAATATTTAAGTATCATTATTAGTACCGAGGATGGTGATGCCATGGTTGTTATTGATTTGCTTGCACTTAAAAAGGAGTCTATTTCTTTCATTCTTACTTTATTTTTAGCATTATTTTAGGTGCTATTATAAAAACTGATATACAAGGTGCTTCCCTTCATTGACTGAACAGTTTCAGTTTGTGATAATGCAGGGCAAAAATTTAAATAGGCTAGGGAAGACAGTATAGATTATACACTGTATTAGTCCTGGGGAGAATTATGGATGGAACTGATCAGGTGGGAAAATTAATGAATTAAAATAGGAAGATATAGTTAATCATTTGTGTAGGAAGTGCTTCTTGTAAAAAGTGGTCTTTAAATCATTCGTATTTAAGAGCATTTTGCATATATTTATGTAAATAAAGTGAATAATCAAATTAGATAAACATGTCAGAGATATGCAAAGGTGTCCAGAAACCATTTTAAAAAAAAAAAAAAAAGAAATTTTGTGTGGTTTTGACCTTGTTAATATAACAAGGGGTTGATTTAGGGAGACAAGAACAGAGGACAGTGGCTGAGGTGGTATAGACAAAACTATGAGATATAGACAAGACAGTGCATTTAGCCAGCAAGCTTGAGAGCATCTTAGGCATGGCACCTCCTTTTCATTTCTTTCACTAGCACAGTCCTAGTTGGTATAAATAATCCAAAATGTTTGTGAACTTGGTGACTTCATCTTTTCTAATGTAATTGCTTCATGAAAGGAAACACTAAAGAGAAGAAGTGGAATCAGCAAAAATGCTGAATAGGGCACATTTTGCCCTCAGGGAGCTTATAAGCCCAGTGGAGTTGGCAGATATTTTAACTAGTTAGAATACAGTGTCCAAGTGCTGCAGTAACAAATACCAGATAAATTCTGTTATAACTTAAAAGGCAGAGGTGCCCTGCCAAGCATATTGGGAAAGGCTTTACCTAGGAAGGTTACTGAGCTACTGTGTAGGTGAGAAATTAGATGGATTTTGTTTGAGGAGAGCATCTTGGCGGAAGGGGGCGGGGTGCATACCAAGGAGCAGGGTAGCTACAGGATGTTTCATAAGGCTGAAATAATGTGGGTATGAGAGAATGGTGAGTAACAGCTCCAGAACAAGAAGGATCTTACACATCATTCTAGGGAATTGAAAGTTGATCCTTAGGGAATGGGGCTTTTGATTAAGGAATAATATTTCAGACAAGAATATTCAACTACCTTTTCAACATCACTTTTTGACTGCTAGGAATTTCGGATGTAACATGCCCCAAAACCTAACTGCAGATTTCTTTCCCATCCTCTGCTTCTGCTTTCTCCCACCTCGGTAAATGACACAGTTCATTCTTTTGAGTTGCTTGATCCAGTCATCCTTGACTGCAATCAGTCCATCAGCAAATCTTCACACAGTAGTCAGGAATTCTGAAAGGGGAGATGGTGTTATTTCTACTCTAAATCTCCTAATGATTCCTTACTTAAAGTCCTGTGTAGGGCCATAAAGCCCTCCATGTCTGGCACTGTCTCCTGTCACTCTTCTGCCTTCTTTGGCTTCAGCACACTTGCCTCTCTTCTGTACCTTAGACATTGCTTACGTTCTTGCTTTAGAACCCTTGCATTTGCTGCTCTCTCTACTGGAACATTCTTCCCCAAGATAGTCACATGGTTGGCTCCCTCACTTCCTGCAGGGTTTTGTTCCTGACACCTGTCCTAATTACCTTATGTAAAATGACCTCATCTCCAGCACTCTGTTCTCCTTGTCCTTCCTTCCTACCACCCCCGGCCCCTCCCCATTGATTTACTACCATCTGGCATATATTTACTTTATTGTTTCTCTCTTTTCTACAATGTCTAAAAGAGCAGTAACTTTGACTTTGTTCACTGCTCTATCCCAAAGGCATAGAACATGAAGTAGCCTCTTAGCAAAGTTTTGTTGATTGAATGGCTTGATTTCCATTTTTAAAACTTTCTCTTGGCAGCCTTGTGAATAGGAGGGAGCATTGTTGACACTTGGACTTGAAATAGTATAGTCAAGAGATTTGGAGGGCATGAAGTCAAGAAATGCTTGGGAGGGAGAACTGACAAGATTTGGCAACTCACTGGAGAGGGAGAAGTGAAGGGTAATGACTCCCAGATTTCTGGCTTGTGTCACTTGAGCAGATGATGTTGTTGTCAGGAATAAATGGAGCCATGAGATGAATGAAGTAGACCAAGGAGAGTATGTAGTAGCGTGACACATTTCCTGGGGTGCCCAGGACTGTCAGTTTTAGCGCTAAAAGTCCATCTCTCAGGAAATCCCTCACATCCAGGCAAACCTGGATGGTTGGTTACTCAAATATAGAGTGAAAAGGTAACTAAAGACAGAACCTCAACCAGGTAGAGAAAAGCTGGAGATAGGCAAGTCTGTGTCGGAAATGGAGCCAAGGCAGTTAGCGAGGGTAGCAGGAGACTCAGTGGGTCATGGAGATGTGGAAGTTTAGAGAACAGGCATTTGAAAAAGAAAATGGTTAATTTTTTAGTTTCTAGCTATCTTTGGTAGAGGTATGACATGTTATAGAGACTCAGTAAATATTTCTTGAAAGAGAAGACACATTATACATCTCTTGTTTTTGTTAAACTATAGATTGTTAAGGGGGCCCAGCTTCTCATACTTGCTGGATCATAAGGATGAAAATGAATTTAGGATGTTACCAAAAGGATCATTATTTCTGCTTTGAGTGTTGGGCAGTCTCGGGGAAACGACTACTCTGAATCTGGGCAGTATGAGTAAATACTGCATTCTGCAGTTGTGAAACAGCATAGAATCTGAGTGATCATAGAATTTCAGAGGTGGACATTTGTGATCATTTGCATAGTGGTTCCTAATGTTTTGATGTAATGAGTCCTTTTCAGAATCTGTTGAAATCCCTGAACCGTCTCCCCTGCAAAAAACACTTGTACATTTTGCTTATTGTTTTGGGGGTGGAGGATTATAAGTGGCCACAGGAATCTCAGGTTACGAGACTCACTGATCATCTGTCTATACCTTGGGCCATTATGAGGTCTAGAAAAATTAACTTACCAAAGATCACATAGCTATATAGTTACTGAACTTGATTCAGTGTTCTAGCCATTGTAAGTCATTGCCACTGGTGTAGTGCAGGTCCAGTCTTTCATAGCCTATTATTAGATTTCTTTCAATTGCTTGGTCACTATGCCAACTCAGTACAAGTTTTGGGTTTGTTTTATTTTTTGGTATTTTTTATTGCAGTAACAGTTTACAAAGCTGTGTAGAATTAGGAGTATAGGCTCATACCTCTACAGATATGTTACCACACCACGCCATATCCACCACTAAGACATCCATAATTCTCCACCATTGTCTACTGCCCCCCACCCTTTATTCTCTACCCTACATCCTCCCCCTCTAGCAGCCTCAAATCTACAGTTAGATTTAGGGTTTGTTTTGTTTGTTCCTCTGTTTTTTGGGTTTTTTTGTTTTTTTAATACCACGTGAGTGCAATCTTCCAGTATTTGCCTTTCTTCTGACTTATTTCACAATTCTTAAAATTCTGTAGGAAGTTGGATGGACTGTCAGAATGTAAATGTCCAACTTTTTAAGTCACAAATTAAGAGCTGGTTGATGATATAAAAATAAAAACTTAGTAATGCGACTTGTGCCTTTTGTTTGGAACAGGATGCTGTATGATTATGTTGAAAGGAAACGAAAGGAAAATTCTGGAGCCCAGCTGCATGTCACTTACTTAGTGTCTGGCAGTCTCGTTCAGAATGGACACTCCGTAAGTTCTTAGAATCTCATAAAGAGTTTAAATGTGTTTGAGCTATAAACAGTATTATATAACATAACGGGGGAAAACAAAATTTAGTATTAAGAAGTTTATAAAAGCTACTTGAAGGTGATGGTTATTTTGGGCTTTTAACTGAACCTAAAATTTTGAGAGGTTTGGGTAGTATGTTTCCTATGATGCTGAGACTATATCATTATTATGCAATTTTCCCAGGCAACTAGACCTTAGGTTATTCCTCTTTTGTTCTTGAAGGTATATTAGAGTCAGTGGTGGTTAACTTCCAACCTGTTCAGATATCAAGGTACAAACTCAGGTGTTGAAAAAGTACTTTTAACTGAACTTGATTTTGACTTTAGTGTTCCTTTTGGTAGGCTTATGTGTAAGTGTCTAAAGGATGGAGGTGTTGGCAGGGGGCTGAGCTGATGAAGTGCAGTGGCATGGGCTGGAAATATGGTTATTCTCATGTATCTTTTTACAATTCCATCCAGTATCTGGTCATCCATTAACACAAATTACTGGTTTCGTTTTCATCCTCCCAACCATAAAGCTTTCTCAGGTCTGCTGGCTTTCTCTTAGCTGCTTCCATGTCCTCCAGGGACATAGGGATTATTCTGTCACTCCCCTGTGCCTTTGTGGGTGTCAGAAGCTCAGCTGAGATAACTAGTTCCACCTCCTGCACCAGACTGTGCCTTGGGAACTTTGATAATTCCTGCACTCTGGCTTCCTGTCAAAAGTAAGGTGCATGCCCTATGTTCTCACTATCCTATACCCTTTCTGAAAAATCTTTCACTGCCATTACTAAAACTAGCAGCCCCATAGAACTTAGTCAGGGATCAGGAATCCTTCTCAGAGATCTGTTAATAAATAATTTCATCTTCATTTGATTTCCCCTCAGACTTGTAAGTTCACAAGCCTGATTTATCAAAATACTGCCTAGATTTGCCTTAGAGCAGTAGATTCACAAGTTTGTAAGATTTGATAATTTATAAGGAGAATCAAAACAGTAGATGAGATCCTTGTATTCTTTGGTCAGCATATTCTTTTCTTGTTAGTAAGCTATTTGACAAGCCAGATGATAAGATATTCACAAGGATCAGATGCATGTAAATACACATACATGTGTATATAATATAGATATATAGATGTAATTATGTAGACAGAATTAATCAGAACCAATTCATTTACTCCCGCAAATAAACCTGCATTGAGAATCTTCTCCCTGTAAGGCTCTTGAATGGCTGCTGCCAAAGTTTGTTTTTGAATATTGGCTTACATTTTGTTTCCAGGATTCCCCAGCTCCTTTTGGTCTCTTTATTTTAGCTAATACTTTCAATCTAGTTGTAGTCACTTTTCTACCTACGTATCCTTTTGTTTCTCTAAAGCAGTGTGTTTTTTAGGTCACTGATTCCTTTTTAGAATCTGAAAGAAAAATACATATTCATAAAATTTTCAGTGTTTACAGATCACCTGGAACAGGGTCCAAGGTTAAGAATTTATGTTTTAAGATAAAGTTGCAGATTTTTGTTGTAACTGAGATGAAAGCAGTTCTTAGTTTGGGATCCTTGGATGGTCTCCAGGGTTGATTTTCAGGGTTTAGGGAATTCTTGGATGAATACCTCAAAGTGTATTCAAATAGTGTGCCTCAGTGCATTTTTTTTGACACCATTTTTCAAATGATGTATAACCTGTAACTGGTTAAATTTTTCTGTGTTGTCTTGCTTATAGAAGACCTATTTCTAAATTTAAGAAGCCATTTAAATTCTGCCCATTTTTAAAGCAATGAAATACTTTCTCAGATGAAATCTTAATCAGAATTCAAATATATAAGATATGTAAAGGGGAGAGTTGCTGTGGTTGAAGAGGATTTTGGAGCCTTGGACTCACCTTCCTCATAGTCCCATGGCACAGCCCTGTGGAACCCTGAAGAATTACTGACCAAGTGTGGATATTTCCCAAGAATCTTCCCAGAGGGAATTATTTGAAAATGTCTAGGTAATGCCTGGGTCAGTCTCTTTGTAATATTAGAGGTGGTCACCCAGATCTATCCATTATGAAGCTCCTCACTGGTTTTCATCTAATGATGATAGCTGAGGTTGATTTTTATCATTGTCTAGTCCTTAGAATTCACTAGGAGTTACAAAATGGTGATGGTTCTAAATCTGTCATTCCTTCTGGAATTTTATTGGCTGGAATTTTTCTGTAAAGAAAATCTTTTTCTCATCACCTAGTCATATTTTTTCTTTTAACTGTTGAAAAGCTCAGAAGGCTTACCCCAAGCCATGCCCTGGGTTTGTGGATGCTGAAGTTATTCCTCTGTCCATCTTAAGTCCAAATCAGAAGTCTATATTGGTTTGCTTTGTTTAGCACCTGCAAGCTGGCATTTCCACTGTGGTGTTTTATGCATTTTCAGTACCCACTGAGGTGGCATTTAGCCACGATGGGCTGTCCACATTTTCTTCTGATTGTACCGATTCTTATTTTTTAGTTCTTCTTATAAAGCTTTATAGCTTGAGTAGATAGTTCCTAATGCTTTTTCATATGAGCTCTCTAGTCTTTATTGTACTGTTTTGCAGAACATGACATTTTTAGGAATGCCTGTTTTGCTTTTTTTAAGAAAAAGCACATTACGAATATTCCCTCTTGTAAATGCAAATTTGCATTTGCATTTTTTAAAAATTTACTTGATTTTATATTGCTCTTTATGTTCTAAATTTTGATGAGTCCTAACAGTATAAATATGCATATGCTTTTGCCCAATATATATTTAGAAAAGCAAAACCAATATCTATTTTTTGTATGTTCTTCCAGTGTTTTTGATATTGTGTGTTTTGAATATGAACATATTCTTATTCCCCTTTTTATATGAAAGTTTTCATATACTACCCCATATTCTGTACTTTTCTTTTTAACAGTAGATCATGAGCATAGCAGTCATAGAAACAGCGCTCATTCCTTATTACATCTGCGTACTCCTATATTGATAGATTTCGTTTAGCTTATTTAGCAGTCTCTTATTGATAGTTACTTAGAATATGTAGCCTTTGGCTATTATGTGAATAGCTCTTTTTTTTTTTAAATTCTTGGTGCTTTTTTTTTAAAATTTTTATATTCCCCATACAATTGCACCCCCTTATTTTGACCCCAATCAAAATAAGGGGGTGCAAACAATATATGTATTTTGTGTACTTCTGCCGTGTGTTTCAGGGTTGTGTTCCTAGAAGTAGGCTCTGTCTGTACCTTTGTTGACTATTTCAAATGCCTTTCCATTTTTCATTCCCACTGGCAATGTATGGAAGTGTTATAAATGTTTCAGGGTTATTTGCCCCTTTTTTGTGAACTGTCTATTCATACTTCTTGCCACCTTTTCCAAGGATTATTACTGTTCTATCTATTTTAGATAGATATAACTGGCAGATTTTTTCCCCACTTTATCATTTGCCTTTGTACTTTATATACAGTTTTTATTTTTATCACTCAAAAGTAACTTTATAGATTATTTGAATTATTTCTGGATTTTGAATGATAGTTGGGAAATTTTTCCTTATTCTCAGGTTATCAGTTTATAGAAGAATTCACCCATGTTTTCTTCTAATGCATGTATGTATGTTTTCATTCTTTACATTTCTATCTGATTCATTTAGAATTTATTCTGTTTTATAGTGTAGAAGACAAATCCAATTTTTAGCTGGTTCCATATGGTCATACATTAATTCTTATTGTTTCGCTGTCTAAAAAGTCCTCTTACACTGATTAGAATGCTTAGCGTTTTTTTTTATTTTGTTGGTACTATACTCATCACTTTCCTTTACCTGGTTGAGAAGTTTTAAAGTAAGCAAGTTAAAAATGAGCCTGACTTTAATAATTTATCACATATAGATAACAGATGTACACAACTATATGTATATATTTTAAGGGTACTAATGTTCCTAATTTCACATCCATGTGCAATTGAATTATTGGCAAGAAAACATTAAAATTCCACCTTGTACTGCTTTAAATAATAATGAAATGTTATTTCCTTACAGTGCCACAAGGTTGCAGTAGTGAGAGAAGATAAATTGGAAGGTAAGTGTTTTAGCAAGTTTTTCCTCTTTTGCCATCAATGTAGGTATGATAAAAAAATCTGCCCCTCACATATGCATACAATGTATTTAGCTGTTTACCTGAAGAGTCATGTATACCTTTGACTAGTAGTTTCTGAAACATGTTAAAATGTGATATTACATCTCCATAATTTCCAATTTTTTAAGTCCAGTAGCTACTGATATTTATAGAACACTTTTATAACAGAATTTCAAAATTTATGACAAATGCAAAAAGCTATCATAAATATCAGATGGAACACCTCATCATTGTAAAGGCAACAGTCTCTAAATATTGTGTTCCATAACAATATTTTTAGGGAGAAAATTAAGGGATGCCTTTCTAATATCAGACGACTTTAAAAATTTTTTTTTCTTTTTTTTTTTTTTTTGCATAGAAAAACTGGGGTGTAAGATTCACCAGAGACAGAGTAGGGAGCAGAACAGGCAGATTTTACTGAAATATACTGCTAAGGGTAGCAGCAGGCAAGACAGGAGAGGTTTGCTGTGCCATATGTAGGGATTAACTCAGGCTATTGTGGTAACAGCGCTGAGACTTAACCCCTCCATCACTAGGGAGGTCCCTGTCAGAAGACTTAATATAACTTCTAAATTAAATTTGTCCACTCATTTCAGGACTGTTAATGCCACCTTTCCATTGTCTAAAAACTCAATTCAAAAGAATTTAATAACAGGGTCTTTGTGATCCTGTCTCAACAAAATGTGCATTCTTGTAATTTGTATGTAAAGATTTCTGCCAGTGGAGTCATTTTCTTACAAGTTAACTTTGAGATACTCAAGGGGTCAAGATGTACATGTTTTTCTTTTTCAATTCCCACAGTGCTAGGCAAGGCAAAATTTATTCATTCAATAGGTTACATAGGTGAGTATCCTGCTTTGTGATAAGCTCTTCTAGGCACTGGGGATGCAGGACAAGTTAAGTGGTCTCTTCCTTCAGGGAACTTAAATTTGTCCTTGTGGTGTTCTTTTGTGTTTCTGCTCTGTAAACTAAATCTAGTTAGTGGTATTTTTGTTACAGAGTTGCTTTCTCTAAACTAAAATTGAATTACATAATCCTCTCAGATAGAAATTACTTATTCCTATTAATTAAATGTTAGAGGGTAAGATTCTTCCCTGACTGAAAAAAAAATCATAGTCATCATTAATCATTAATTAGTATTTACTGAATGTCCAGTGGATGAGTGATACCCACACAGGTGCTGTACTTAGAACTGACTCACCACCACCTACCTTGTCATAATGTCCTACTGCAGACAGAAGACTTGATGTTATACTGTATGCGTGGCTATTTGACCTTTGAGAAATTTTTGGACCACCACAGATTGCAAATGGTTTTAATGCAGAAGGGTTTCTTGTTAAAGTCCCCACATGCTATGAAATTTGTGTATTAACAGACTGCTTTTCCTGTTGACTTGTAGCAGTGAAGTCCAAGCTAGCTGTGACTGCCAGCATCCATGTGTACAGCATCCAGAAAGCCATGCTAAAGGACAGTGGGCCTCTGTTCAATACCGACTATGACATCCTTAAAAGCAACTTGCAGAACTGCAGCAAGTGAGCTCCTTAATGTTCCTTGTGGGCTTCTTTACGAATTGATTTTGTAAGATGTTTACACAGTGGCTGCCTCTTAAGAGTGAGTGCCAAGTCTAGTAAAACCCCATTTATCTTGCAGTAAGACACATGCCTGGTTTTATTAGTACATCATAAGGTGAAAAATAGCAGCCACAACCCATATTGAAAACCCCAGTGGACTCCCCATAAATCTATTTCTCATATATTTATCCTGTCACTGCCACCAGAAATGTTTGTTGTACCCCTTTACCCCAGTCTTGTTTAAATTCCTACCCATCCTTAAAGAACCAGTTCAGATGTCCTTCAAGAAACTATTCCTGTTATTCCTAATTTGATATCCCTCTACCTTCCATTCAAAACAAACTTTTTCTTGATCTTCCTTGGTCAAAATCAGATCTTGTTCATCTTTTGTATTCTTCATAGCACAGGGAGGGGATGGACTGTACATAGCACATGGACTTTGGAAATTGATAGTCATGGACTTGAGACATGGTTTTGTTGCTTAGTAGCCTCGTATCTTTAGACAGTTACTTAAATTGTCTGAGCTATGTCTTCATCTTTGAATTGGATATAGTAATGCCTACTTTGTGGGGTTGTATTGAGGGTTCAGGTCAGTTCCCTAGACATATAATGAGCATTTACTTTGACAAGCAGCTACACTAAAGTGTGATAGGAATGCTATACTGGAAGCATAGTGTGCGAATATGTTGGGGAGGCACTCATCCACTACTTTTGGGTGGGGTTGAGTGAGGAGGCAGGAAAGGAAGCTTTTTGAGGGATATGACTTCTAAGTTAGAGTCTCAAGGTCCAGTAGAAGTAGCTGTCAAAGGAGAAGTGGGAGAGTAAGGACAGAGCTGAGAGAAAACATGCTGCTTGTACAGAACCATACTAGTTTTCTGTGGCTGGAAGTTAGAAGGAGAGGTAGGAAATAATTAGATATAAGACTGGAATAGGAGAGAGATTCCATACTTTGGCTACTGTAATAAAGAGTTAAGGCTTTCTTCTGAGGGCAGTGGGAGCCACTGAAGTTTTTTCAGATGAATGAAATGATCAGAATTACATTGTATAATGATCTCTCTGGTTGTGATGTGAAGATAGATCTGGAGGGACTAGTTTAGAGGCAAGGCCATCGGGGAGGAAAAATGTTACAGTGATCCAGAGTGGAGATGACAGTTGATAAAGTACAGTGGCTGTGGGGATGGAAAGGAGTGAAGGTTAAAGAGTAATAATAACAGCTATCAAAGTCTGGACATTGTGGTAGCGGTTGGGGACCAGGTTTTGGGGGGAGAGGGAGCAGCAATTAGTGTTCATGCTGTTGAGGATGATGGCCATGTTTCTGGCATGGGCAGCTGGATGGATGATGGTGCTATCACTAAGAACATGAATGTAAGAGGAGGAAATGGCTTTAGGAGAAAGGGAAAAAGATGAATTGGGTTTGAACATGTTGAATTTGAGGAAGCCTATGAGTCTAAAGCTAAGGAGAGAAATCTGGTAGAGATTTTGAAGTCAGAAAATAGGTAAGTAGTTGGACCACAAAGTAGATACAGTATTGCAGAGAGAAAGTATAGGATAAAAAAATGGCAGAGGGTAAAACTCTAGGCCGTACTTTCTAACTTTGTAAATCTGGAGCAAATTATTTAACCTCTCTGTGCTTTAGTTTCCTTTTCAATAAAGTGGAACTAACCATCATACCAATCCTACAAGTATATAGAGAATTAAATGAATTAACATCTGTAAAGCACCCAGAACAGGCCTTAGCACATAGTAAATACTATTTGAGTGATAGTCATTTTTCAAGAGGTGGGCAGAAACGGAGGGGCCAAAGAGGAAGCAACCAGAGATAAGAAGGTTCCAAAAGCTAAGGAGAGTTTCAAGGAGGAACTGATAGGATCAAACTTGGCTGAGAAGCTAAGGGAAAAAGAAATTGAAGTATCATTGGATTCAGTGATGGCCTTGATAAGGGCTATATCAGTGGCATGACCAGATTCTGCTCAGCTGAAGATGTGAGATAGCAAATATGGACAACTCTTTCCAGGAAATTTGACTGTGAAACTGAGGGAAAAGAGAGTTAACTGAAAAGGAGTTGAGACTAAGGGAGGATGTGTACATTATTAAAATTGAGAATACATTTTAAAGTCTGTCATTAGGAAAGAACCATAAAAGAGGAAATAGTTAACGATATGGGGAGGAGATGGATTAATAACTGATTAGAGCTGGGTCATTGGGGAGAATTAGGTATAGATTGCCAAACATAGTTTCTCTAAGTTCCATGAGAACACAGATCACAGCTGTTTTGTTAACAAGTAGTGCCTGGCATGGTGAGCACTCAGTAAACAATAAAGTGAATTAATGGATAGACATTAGTTATTTTCTTTTTTTTAAAGATTCATTTATGCATATAAGAACGGGGGTGCAGGCCAGAGGTGCAAGGGGTGAGAGGATACACCAGAGACAGAGTGGGCCGCAAAATAGGCGGATCTACTAAAATACACTGCTGAGGGGAGCTGCATGCGAGACAGGAGAGGTCTGCTGTGCCATGTGGGTTAGCTCCCTGGCCAGGGATACACCTCCACCTCATGCCACAGTGGCTGGTGATAGCTTGATAGCTCTGAGACTTAACCCCTGTGCCACCAAGGAGGCCCAGTTATTTTATTTTTTAACTCAAAACCTTGAGTGTAGTTAAGTATAAAAGTATTTATTAAATATGATTATTTAGCCAAATAGTAATCATTTGCAAGTTTGGTGTCTTTTTGGGAAGAATTATAAGAAAACATTAATACCTTGATAAATTTATGTAAACTATAACCTTAGATTTAAAAAATAATCAGTATTAAAATCTATTTGTGGTTTTCAAGCTCTAAAAATCAGTTCTGTTGTATCTAGCAAGTAAACAAAAATAAGTGAGCCAAAAGTTCAAAATGAAATTTGCGCAGGGACTGCTAAAATGACCATGATAAGTAGAAATAAAGTAATAGAATGTACCTTAGTGAAACTTACTTGAATACTTAAAGTATCCTCAGTAAAAATGGGAAGGATTTATCTCCAATAAAGAAGTTTGTATTTGGTCCTGAGAATTATAGACCAACTGAGATCTGACTCATTGTTTCGTGTGTTTTAAGAAGTGCTGTGACAGGAAGAAAGCTGAAATTTTAGGCTTGAGCAGAATCTTGTCTCTACAGTTATGTTCCCAGTCTAACTTGGACTCTTTCTCATTGCCAACTCTTGGTCCTGACCCTAAGGTGTGGAATGTCGACTAAATGGAGAAAGAGTTGTTTTGGGGCCAACTTTAGATGTTGACAATGAAATAAAACATTACCTTTTTCATTGTACATGGGAGCATTGCAGGGCCAGAGAGGAAGAGAGGTGGGTGAAAGTAAATGATTTCTGTGTGTTCTTAACACTGAGGTACAAAATATTTCTGTGAACGCAGGCTTTCTGATGTGGGATAGTAATAAAACAATGGAAGATTTGGCATTGTAGACCCTAGTTTTGGGATTTCTCAGTCCGTTATTTTAGCAGTTAATCTTAAAAGTTGTGTCTGGTTGATTTCTAAAATGATTGCTATTACCACATAATTTCTTAACCTCCATCTTCTCACACCCCAAGTTGAAATGATATACTAAAGGAGGGAGAGAAGCCAGAAGACTATTTTCAGTGATTTAAGTTATTGTTCTTTCAACACTTGCTATGTTCCAGGTCTTGTATGGGGTGTACTTGAAATACAAATGATGAATAATACACTTCCCTACCTTTAAGGAGCTCTCATCTATCTCCCCTCCCCACCAAAAGCAAAAGACTGGTGATAAATAAAAGTGTTCTTTGTTAGGAAAGTTTGGGAAGTTTGCTCTAAGTCTGTCCTTTTGAGAAGGCTGGATCAGTTACCCATTTATAGTGTGGAATATAACCTTATGGATTTGTGTGAAAGAGGAACGTCTGTAATGATTAGAGAAGAGATGAATGTTCCCTTTAATATGCCATGCAAACTTCCAAATTTCCTCACTTTGCTTTGGGCATACTTGTCTGTTCTGTTAGTTGGTATTATTTGAAATTATTAATAAATGACTGTGAAGGACCAGAGATTATAGATGCCAGTGGTGGCTGTTGCCAGCTTCTTCCATGCCCTTCAGCATGATCTGCTCTGGCCAGGAAAGTTGCCAGATAGTTTGTTAATATTTAAAACTCTTGATTCAGTCGATACTTAGTGCATATTAAGCCCTATATAGTCTTTAGAAACAAGAGAGAACCATTTATTTTCCCAAGGATGATGAAATTACTAGTTTTGTATATTCTTACTCTTTTGAATTGGGATGCTTTTTTAAAAACAAGAATATTTAGTATGATAGGTGGGAGACACCTGATTTCAATCCTAGTTCTATTACCAACTCTATGTATAATCTAAGTCACTGCTCTCCAGTACTTGTTCCAATACTTTTTCCCATGCATCTTAATGAGAGTTCTGCACAAAATAATTTCGAAGTCCATTCTAATTCTAAAGTTCTGTAATTTTATAGTGTTAGGGTTCTGTAAAGTATTGTATGGAAGAAACAAGAGTTTGTAAATAAGGTTTGTTTTTGATGAGAATTTAATGTAATATTTCTGTCCTCAGGTTTAGTGCCATACAGTGTGCAGCTGCAGTCCCTAGAGCTCCTGCTGACTCGTCATCTTCTGAAAAGTGTGAACAGTCAGATCATCAGGTATCAAGTGAGACACAAGTCAGTAATGAGTTGGCCACCAATGGTCATGGCCCACCTACCTCCAAACAGGTTTCCCAGCAGTCCAAAGGAATTATGGGAATGTTTGTTTCTAAAGCTGCTTCTAAAACCCAAGATACCAACAAGGAAGCCAAAACAGATGCTAAAGAGGTGACAAATGTAAGTCTCTTTTAAAAAGATATGCCCTTATAGGTCAGAATGGATGACTAGAAAAACATGAATAGGTCCAATGGTAATAGTTTCATTATATAAGGTTTTTATATTAAGTTCTCATTTTTGTACTTTAGTTTGGATCCTTTAATTCTTGATATAGTCCTTTTTTAAGGATTTATTTATGCATACAAGAAAAGGGGTGTAGGCCAGAGGTGTGGGGATGGAGGGTGGTGAGAGGATTCACCAGAGACAGAATGGGGAGCAAAACAGGCAGATCTACTGAAGTACTGCTGTGGGGAGCAGCGGGTGAGACAGGAGAGGTCTGCTAAGCCATGTGGGCCAGCTCCCTGGCCAGGGATCGAACTCATGCCGCGGTGGTAGTAGTAACTTGATAGTGCTGAGACTTTAATCCCTGCACCACCAGGGGGCCCCTGAAATAGTTCTTTTCTTTTAATAATGCTTCTCACTAAGTCTTGGATTCTCCTGTAAAGTGCAGAGAATTGTGTATTAGCAATATGTCATTTTGCTTAATTGTGTATTAGCAATATGTCATCTTATATTTGGGCTTTGCCATGTGTTCCTTCTTTCCTACTGTATTTAACATTCTCACTCTAGTTTATGAATTTTTCTTATTTTCCCTCCTCATTTCTCTTAGTTTTTTATTCACTCATCTGAACTAACTTAAGTGCATTGACTTAAGAAACGTATCGTTAAAATACTACTAACACATGATCCAGAGAGGTGTAGTTACTGTTATTATTACCATTATGGTCAATTTAAAGACTTCCCATTGGCAAAGGAGAAGAGGATGGAGGAAAAACAACTCCCATTTATTCAACTTCTGCTGTGTGCCAATAGTTTGATCTTTATTTCAATTCTTTTATCAACTCCGTGAGGGAGATGTTGTCATCTCCATTTTGTATGTGGTAAAATTAAAGCTTGAACTTGTTAAATAATTTCCCATTTTGCTGTTTCCCATATTGCTGCTGTCATATTGCTATTAAGTGATAGGATCTATTCAGATCTATACCTGATTATTATAAATGTAATGTTTTGGAAGTTTCTTCTATGTTGTGTACTATATTGCCTCTGATCTATTTTAATTCCATCAAACTAAGTAGTTTTTAAATAGTCTCAAGAAAAGTCTAGTTACGTTCATGTATAATAATTCTATAAGAACTGTGAGAAACTAAGTTTTGGAGATTAACATCAGATACTGTCTGGTCTGAATTTGTTCTTGTACCTAATGCGTGTATGTTTTGGCATGATTATATAAAAACTACCATCACTACAGTGTGCTTTGCTATTGAGATTTTTTGAGACTGCAACTTGAAGAGCAGCTTAACCACTACCAAAAATCATGTGTATTTTCTTTCCTGTGTTTTTAGGCATCTTTGGCAGGCAATAAGGCACCAGGGAAAATGAATATGACAAACAATTTTTTTGGAAAAGCTGCTATGAGTAAGCATGTTCTTATCTTCCTTTGACTAAATACATGGATGTTAATATAATCACATATATCTGAGGCAAAAGACACCTTGTCCAGTTTTGACCATCTGTGACAATACCATGTGGCTTTTGTACATCCCAACATAAATTTGTAATCTGTTGATCAGCTATGGATTTTATGGGTGAGCTGGGCTTAGTTCAGATCTGTTGGGGAGGATAGTATACTATTCCAGTTTTATGCCCTGCTTTGAAAAAAGAATGAAATATTTGTCTCATAGGGCTCTTGAAAATGGGTCATTAAAATAGAAGGGAGACTGCCTTGTTAAATGGTAGTATTGAGGTTAATATCATGGATGCTGGTATGAGTTTGCCTGTTGTGATCATTATTACCCTGTCTCTGCAAAATGAATCTTTTGTCTTTCTTTAGTTACTTTTACAGATTATTCATAGTAATGAATTAGACCCTAGACTGAATTAGAAAGGTCCAGGTAGTGATGGCCATTTAAAATTATTTACTTTCTGAGAAAGCAAAATCTCCTATATTTAAAAAAAATCTAAATAAGAATTCTTTCATGTGGAAAGAATGGTCACATATTTTCCTACATCTCCTATCAAGTGCATATCCCCTTAGGGTATGTGGTGGAATACAAGAAAGAATGCAGGAGCCGCAGGATAATTATGACACACTTTCTTGGAGCATTAGTTTTTACAAAATGTTGTGGGTAGGCATCTTGTTACATGCCTACGCAAGCAAAACTAGACAGAATTCTGCTTTTCTGTAATGGTCAAATTGGGGGCAGGGGTAGGGGTGATACTTTTTATTTGCCATAAAAGTAATCAGACATTTTTATATTCTGAAAGTATATGGAAAATTGGATACTTTCAAGTTATTGGGAAGTATGATTGTATTATTGCAGGCACACTGCACAGGGAATCACACTAATATTAGTGGCCTTGTGTGGTTGATACTAGTTCACTGCACCCAGCTTATGTGGTTTCTTGGCAGTTTTGAAGAGGTCTACACGCTTATTTTTTGTTCTTATGTATGCATTTTTAACCTTCTTTAAAAAATACATTTTCTAATTAAAATATAGAAGATGTAAACATTTGCCAAGTGTAAAAAATTATATGTATTTGTGTGTTCGTTTGGCAAATATTTATTGAGCACCTATTATGTGGTTGGAACTATTTTGTACTGGTGATACAAAAGAGAAAATGCAGACAATGAGGTTCTTTCCCCCAAGGTTCCTTATATTCTACTGGGAGACACAAATACATAAACAAATAAGATGTTAATGATTGTAGTTGCTAGGCAGAGAATAACAGGGTGTTATGATAAAATGTAATAGAGGGGAGAATACCCAAATAAATATTTACCTATACAAAGAAAAGCTTACAGAGTTGATATTATTTAACAGATTTTTTTCAGGGCTGAATGTTTAGAGTAAAATATGAATATTTTTATTGTATTTGTCACATGATAAGATCATTGCAATAAAAATGAAGTTTGAGAATTGGATGAAGAGATTGACTGTGAGGACTTGAACTATTAAAACCTAATGCTGCACAGTAACACATGTTGCCAAGGATGTGGAGAAACTGAACCTTCATAGATTAGGAGAGAGAATGTAAAATGATGTGCTCATTTTGAAAAACAGTATGACAGTTCTTCAAAAAGTTAAACATAGTTACCCAGCATTTCCACTCTCAGGTATCTGTTCAAGTGAATAACTACTATATGTCCATACAAAATCTTGTATACAAATGCTCATAGCAGCATTATTCATAATATCCAAAAAGTGGAAACAACCCAGAATTCCATCATCTGATGGATAAGCAAAATGTGATATAGTCATTCATTGGAAGATTATTCAGCCATGAAAAAGAAGGAAGCACTGATGATACATAACCCAACATAGATGCACCTTGAAACATGTGAAGTGGAAGAAGTCAGACACAAAAGATCACAGATTGTCTGATTTCGTTTATGCAAAGTGTTCAGTCTAGGCAAATCTATAAAAACAAAAAGTAGAATAGTGGTTGTCAAAGGCTTGGTGGGGATTGATGAGTGACCACTGATGGGCACAGGGTTTCTTTTTGGACTGATGAAAATATTCTAAAATTGGATAGTGGTGATGATTGCATGATTAAAAATCACTGAATTGTATACTTTAAGGGGTAATTTTGTGGTATGTGAATTATATCTTAGTAATGAAAACCTTAGTGCTTTATATATATAAAAATTACATTATTGATGACAAAATTTTAACATTTTTTGACTTGGAAAGGTTTTATATTTTCTTGATTATAAAAAGAAGATTTTTTTTTTTAATTATCAGATGATACAATGACTTCATCATTCAGATAACCAGAAAGTATGATTAAATTTTCTTTAACAGTTGCCCAAAAGTGTTTCAATGAACTTTTTTTTTTTTACTAGCTAATTGGCTGAATGTGGCCACAAACATGGTCAAGGTGGAGTTCCCAAAATACTGTAAAAACATCTGCATGCTGAATCTGTTCTGTCAATAGTATTTTAATTTAGATCAATTTTCTGAGATTGGTAGAGTTGATTCAATAGTTACTCTTTCCCTACTCTGTGAGGCAGTTAGAGAATATTTGGAGGTTTTTTCTCATACTGATGTAATTTTGCTATCAAAATCATAAACTAATAGAATGCAAAATTTGCATAAACTTTAAAAAATACACATGTAATTTCAGAGAATTGGTTTTTTGGGGGTGGTTTTCACTGACCTTTTGTCCCCCTGGAGATCCATGTTTACTCTTCCATACAGTTTGATGGACAAATTTGGGAAGTACTGGTATTTGACAACAACAGTATTTAAAATGCGAAAGAGAAGGCTGCTGTGGGGTCAGAGTTCTTATTTGAGTCTTCAGGAATAAAGTATGAACAGATTGTTACATTTTCATCATCATCTATTCTTTCAAATAATATACTTCATAAATTATTATACTGAAACTGTGTAACAGCCAAAATTAAGCTATCAGCCTTTTTTCTACACTGTAGATAGTTTAAGCTATTTTATGACATATAACAGAACCCTTACATTAAAAAAAAAAAAAAAAAAAAAAAAAACCTGATGCCATTTATAGCTCTCTCTGAGTATTTTTTTCTTGAAAATAAAAACTGTCATTGAGCAGAGTATGACGGCTATGCTGTGGTTTTGCAGATGCTACATCCTGCTTGCATTTCTTAGTCCTCTCTTCTATATAGCGGTTGCTTTTGTTTTTCAGATTGGTGTGGGGCAAAGGCTTTGAGGAGTTAAACTGACAGGTTTTCACATCCTGACTTACCTTTTCTGTCAGTGTTAACCGTGGGCAAGTCACTTAACTGCACATGGTCATCTCTTTTAATCCTTACAAGAATCTTGAAAAAAATTATTGCAGTTTTTACAAAGAAGACTTTTAGATAAAATAACTTGCCCAGAGTGAAGCTGGATTTGAACCAAACTTTTCTGATTCTATAATAAATAGTCTTTTTCTTTTAATTATCTCATTAAGGGAGATAATAAGAGTATCCATATGGCTTAAAAGATAGGCTATAATAAAAAGAAATTAAGGTCTTGGTATAAATTTCTGTCATAACCATTTGTAAATTGTGTATTCTTGAGAAATGCCTTTTAATTCCTGTGACTCTTAATTTCTTCACCTCACAAGAAGAGGATACCTCATAAAGTTGTGTTCACTTTTTTCTAAGTTCTGTTTCACTATCATTTAGCTTGGGGGCTATGATAACATGAAGAATTACCAGGAGGCAGACATGAAAACAGTTATAGCTGATATTTGGAAAGAAGAAATATTCTCTGACTAGTCCTCTGTTAGGACAGGGACTGTTTTATCTTTTAGCCCTTGTTCCTAACATGTTACCTGGCACTTAGTAGACTGTCAAAGGAATGATAGATTAATATTGCGTGGTGATAGATTAATATTGCGTGCTATACTTTATTTGTAGATAAACTTAAAGTCAATTTGGATTCAGAACAAGCAGTGAAAGAAGAAAAAATAGTGGAGCTACCTCCAGTGTCTGTTACTGAACCAAAGCTGGCAGCCCCTGCAGGCCTAAAGAAATCCAGCAAAAAATCAGAGCCTGTTAAGACACAGCAGAAGGAAAAAAAAAGGTAGGAAAATTTTGTCGTTTGTTGGGGAAGAGTGTCTCTGCTGGGGTTGAGAAGGTCTGTTTGGGCTTATTGACAGCGGTTTTCAGCTGAGTACTAAATCCTACTTAATGCCTTTGGGATATAACTGTGTAACCAAAATGAAGACAGACGCTCACAAACTTAGCTAGTGAAGCAGAACTGTGGAATCAGCCAGGTTAGATGACTTAGAGCTCAAAGTCCCCTTTTTGGGCCCTAATCATCTAAATTGATTGTCTTTTTTCCTTTACTTCGTTTTAAATTTGTGGACATGATATAGTGTGCCTAATCATGTGTCTATTTTCCACTTCAGATCTCCAAATGAGAGGTTACTGTTTCCAGTCAAATTTAGGAGAAAAAGTTCTTTGTTTTCTTTTTATATCAATGAGTTTATTTTTCAAGTGGTAAAATGTAATTAGAAAAGAAAATAAAAAGCACACAAGCTGTTAAAAATGGATCCAGGAATTTGAGACACTACCTCATAGTTGGTAGGAATTACTCTGTTGAAAGAAATTCTAAAGGACACTGTCAGCACTGATAGGCCCAGAAATACTTGACTTTTGTGGCAAGCTTGGGCTACTCTAGTAGAAAACATCAACAAAATATTGAAGTTTTGAAAGGTCAAGACTGTCCAGTGGACTTCACCTCCTAGGAACCTGTAAAATGGATTCTTTAAAAAGTCCTGAGCCATAAGTATAGCATTCATTGTTGATGCTGATTGCCAAGAGAACATTCAGTATTTCACCACGAAGTATGTTTTTAGTAGAGGCCCTTTACCAGATGCAGTTCTTTTCTATTTGTAGTTTACTAAGAGGTTTTATTAGAAATGGGTGTTGAATTTTGGCAGTTGCTTTTGCCGCATTTATTGAGATGATGATCATAGTCTTTCTGTAATTGTGGTGAATTATGCTGATTGGTTTTCAAATGTTAAACTAATCTTACATGTTTGGGACAAACCCCACTTGTGATGTATTACTTTTTTTATATGTTGATGGATTCTATTTGTTAATATTATAAAGAATTTTTGCTTCTGCATTTATGAGGGCTATAGATCAGTTATTTTCTTCATCAGGTTTCAGTATTAAAATTGTGCTAACTTCTTAAAATTAATTTCCTCTTGTTTTCTGAGTTTGTGTAAGAATTGTTTTTCTCTCACTTTTTTGATGATTTTAAAATTGTTTTTGTAATGTATTTGTTTCTTAAAAGTTTGATAAAATTCACTAGTGACTCTAGACCCAGAGTTCCCTTTCTGGGAAGATTTCCTCTTTATTATGAATTTGATTTCTTTAAATAGAGGCATGCACATTTTCTTGTACTTTTGGGGCCATTTTTGTTTTTTGTTTTTAAATGTATTTCATCTTACTTGTTGAGTTTATTGGCATAAAGTTCTTCATAATGTAGCCTTATCCTTTTTGTATCTGTAGAATCTGTTGTCAGTGTAGATTCCTTCATTCCTTTTATTGGTCAATACATTCTTTTGTCTTGCTTTTTAATTGGTCTTAAAATGAGTTTATTTTTTTTCCCCAAAGATTGATTTATTTATACAAGCACTGGGTACAGTCAGAAGCACAGGAGGGTGAGAGAATTCACCAGAGCAGAGTGGGGAGCAGAACAGGCAGACTGACGAAGAACACTGCTGAGGGGAGCAGTGGGCTGTAGGAGAGGTCTGCGCGCCATGTGGGGCCCTTGCCGGCGGCCGGGGATCGAACTGGCGCTGCAGAGGCTGTGGGCAGCTTCGCAGCCCAGCACTCAACCACTGCGCCACTGGGGAGGCCCATAATGAGTTTATTAATTTTACTAATCTTCCAAAAAATAACAACTTTTAGCTTTGATAATTTTCTTTTTATATTTCACTGATTTCTGTTCTTTATTATTTTCTTCTACTTATTTTGGGTTTATCTTTTTCTAGCTTAAGGTAGAAAAATAAGTTGATATTTAAGTCTATGTAAGAAATAAGATACTTGAGGATAAAATGTCTTCTACGTATTTGTGTCTTGTTCAGTTATTTGTTGATTGAATGAGTAGTGATGGAATATCCAGAAGAGCTAGGTAATGTCAAGGTGTGGGGTCCCAAATTTTTATTATGTTGTTAGAATCACCTTAAGATCTTGTGTCTTTGCCTTTGCTCATATTGTTCTTTCTCTTTAAAATGTGTCTGATGAATGTCTACTTAGCTTTTAAAGTTTCAAGTAAGATTCATGTTCCATAACTTTTTATTTTTTGTCTAGGGGTGTTTATATCTATTTTTTCCTGCCAGAGTTTCTTGAGAACAGTATTTTCTTGATTTTGATCTTTTCTTGATCTTGATCATCCCTCAGTGTTTGGCAGAGAGTCTTGTGTGTAGATAGTAGTTGTTTATTTAATGCTAGTTGATTGGTTGAAAGGCCGGTGTGGGAAAGTAAGCAGGAATTTAGAAAAAATTCTTGATAAAATGGTAGTATCTTCCAGTAGTCTACAGAGAGTGTAAGAAATTTTTTATTCCCTTTCAAGTGACCTAGTGGTGGTCAATTAGCAGACTGTCCTTGGGAAAAAATCCTTGTTGATTTATAGACATCTTTTCTATCCTCTGTAATTAAGACCATGAGTAGCAAAGCCCATAGTAGCATCTGAATATTTATATTTTTTATTTTGTATAACATGCTGAAATGATTCCTGATTGGCAACAGGGGGAAGCGAGTGGAGCTATCTGATGATGAGACAAAAGAAACTGAAAATATGAAGAAAAAGAGAAGAAGAATCAAATTTCCTGAGTCTGATAGCAGTGAAGATGAAGGTGGGCGTTGCTATTCATTTTGATGTGATTATCTTAGTCAGTTTGGGCTGCTCTAACAAAAATACTGCGGACTGGGTGGATTGAACAATAGGGATGTATTTTTCACAATTCTGAAGGTGAGAAATCCAAAATCAAGCCATCATCTGATTCAGTTCTCTTCCAGGTTTAAAGAAGGGTACATTCTTTATGGCAACAAGAATCATTTCTCTCCTGTCTCTTACAATGGCACTAATCTCATTCATGAGTGTTCAATGCTCATGACTTAATTATACCTCCCAAAGACCCCACCTCCAAATACCATCCACATCAGGACTTCAATGTATGATTTTGAGGGAGTCCAAACATTTGATGCACAGCAGGGTTGCATTTTTATTAGGATATTCAAGAAGCTAAAAATGTTATTATTATGGGTCACAACAACACAAATCTTCCTAGCATTGAGAAACATATAGCACCTATTTCTGCTTAAAATCTGCTTTAGCCTTTAACCAGAACCATTTGCCAAAATAATGAACACGAAGGGAAAGATAATTAAATATTTTTATTATATACAGTTGATCCTTGAACAATGCAGGGATGGGGGTACCAATTGCCCACATAGTCAAAAATTTGCACTTTTGATTCCCCCAAAACTTACCTGCTAATAGCCTATTGTTGATCTAACTTTATGAATAACACAAGTAATTGATTAACACGTTTTGTATGTTACATATCTTGTAGTGTTACAATAAAGTGAGGTAAAGAAAAAATTTTTATTGAGAAAATACTTTTACAGTACTATATTGATTGGTTGATATTACTATACTGTATTTATCAATATCTTGTTTATAGGAAAATCCACATAGAAGTGGACCCATTTTGTTCAAACCTGTGTTGTCCTTGGGTCAACTGTGTATTAGCAAAGATGTTTTGTTTTGTAAAAAATTAAAATTCCTTTCACTACTTTCATGTGAGTCTTTTAAAATGGGTAATATTGTAGGCATCGAGTGTTGGTGGTCTTCCATACCATACAAATGAGGCTGTGCTGAATTGTAGACTCTAAAGTATCATTATTGAAAGGGAATGACACCAGGGACTCATCTGGTTTTAGGTTTGGGGTGCTGATGTAAGATAAGCAAATCAAATAAGGGGAAGAATCTTACCTGGGAAGAATGTACCTTTCAAAAGAATAACAAATATTCTAAGAGCCAATATCTCTTCCCAAACTTCTTAAGTGAGCATATATAGAAAGAAAAGAGTAAGACCACCTGGGTTAGATTGATGCCAGATGACTTTTCCCTGGAGAGCCTGTTTTGAGTACCAGTGGTAAATAACTTGAATTGCTGCAATCAGTTCTCCACGAATTCATGCCATAATGAATGTAAAACCTTAGGTAATGGGATGGGGGAGAGACTAGTCCAGAGGAATTCATCACATAAAGATACAAAGACAAAAACAAAAAATGAAGGACATAACTAAACTTGTTAGACTCTTAAAGCAATTGCTCTAAGAATAACTGAGCACGGTAACAGGCTCTCCAAAAAAGGAGTATTGGTTCAGCTGTACCAGTGAGTGCAAAACAAATTGTATACACGGATGACCGTAATGCAAAAGAAATGAACAGACCTAAGAAATTGTGTAAGGAAGTTATATGACAGAGGTGCATCTTTGACTCTATGGGTTTCCATCCTACCTAGAGTCACGTTCATGTGTAAAAGTTTGTCACCTGTGCTTTCCTATGAAAGGTATATAGCCCATCAGAGCTGTAGTTTTTAATAACTTTTTAGAAGAGTCTCCTAGGGTAGGAGCATGGTATTGTGAGCATCCCTGAGAGGCATTTGCTGTCAATCCGTTGCCAAAATGCTTTGACCAGGGCTGCCGAAAGAAAGATACCCAACTGTATGTATGAGACAAGAACCATCAAGGAACATTCAGACACATGGGAAAATTAGGAAATAATAGGAATATGTGCTAATAGGAATAATCTCCCATACTTCCAACTTGGGAAAGATTCTGGAAAGCTCTTTGAAGCCATCTGCCTAATGTGTTAAAGAGCTGCATCCTTCACTGAGTAGAGAATCTAAGTTGAGGAATTACTGTGCTTGATTGAGTGCTCATTGCTTGCTTCTGAAATCTTCTCTGTAGTCTGATCCTTAACCCACAAAATTAATACTCATGGATGATTAGAAATAGGGATTATTTCGTTTGGAAACGAGAAGATATGTGATAGAGGTGGACAGCCTATAATAACAGATGACATAGAGCAGAAGCGCTCAGATGTTTTTCCTCTGGCAAAGATAAATTTTGGCATCTGACGAAATTTATAAACCTTTGCCATTTTATTCCTAAATTTCTTCTTTGTCTCAAAGCCAGTGGAATTTTATTTTAAACCTTCACATAGTCTCTAACCTATTATTGTTTTATTTCTGTTACGCTGAATATGTGCTGTTTGTACAGTGTTCTTAGCCAGAAGTCTGCAGATGAGCAGCAGGAGTGGAGGAAATGGCAGGGGCTTTGGAAACAAGCCAGACCTGAGTTTCAGTCTTACCTCTACCTCTCACTGTGTGTGATTTTAGCTAATTACTTCTTTAATTCCTTGTTTCCTCAGCTCTAAAATGGGGGTGTAATCACAAACTGGAGGCTTTTAATAACCTCAAATAAGATGTGTCAAAAGTGCCAGGGCAGTGCCTGATACATAGGTTTTCTTATTCACCCCAATTTTCCTATTGCGGTATTCGATAAGTGTGTAGTAAGTGCACTTATTTGCAAGTACTTTCTCTCAGAAAATCCCTTCAACTTCATGTCTTTAACTCTACTGAGAGGTCTGTTCCTTTCTTTCTCCCTGGCTATGTCACCAGCACCTTTAGCAGTCTGTGTACTGTACTTTGTAAGTCAAGAAAAGGCCAGACCCAGAAATAACAGTAAGTAAGATCTTTATTGTGAGGAAGAAGTAATTTTAACCAATACGTGGAAGGCTCTGCTAACATTTTCAGTTCTTGTAAATTGTATATTAGTTTTTAAAAAAAATTTCTTAGGAAGCTGTGAATGATTTCCAGGAATTCAGATTACTCATCTCTGCCAGAAAAGTCTCTGATAAACAGTGGTTATATTGTTGGATCCCTAAATTAATTTTACACAGTTCTTATTCTGCCCCAATAAAGGTTGCTTTCCTGGGATAATTGATGTTTCACCACTAAAGTACCTTTCATCTGAAGAACTGCAAATTCATTACAAATATATTTAAAATGTACCAACGTAGCCAACATTTCTTGTGCTTATATCATTAAGCTAAATGGGGGGGGGGTGTGCTTGGCTTAGTAATAAACACTAAGACAGACATAGATTCTTGCATATGTATGTGGGCAACTTTTTTATTTTAAGGCTACTTGAACCTCAGTTGTATAAAATATAGTAATAGTGATTTTATGGGGTTATAAGAATGAGTGATTGTTTATAAAGCCCAGAATTTGAATTTTCTTTCCAATTCTTTCTTAAAATAACAAGTTTTAAGCAAACTAATACATCTACACAGTTTCCAAAACCAGATAAAATAGAAATTTTATAGTAATAACTTATATGTGACTCATCTGACTGATGTTTCTCTCATCAGCTTGCTCCCGTCTACCTTCCCTCTTCCAGGGATTTGTTGAAGTTACTTATTCATCAAAAGCTTTTGGCTCCTGTTCTGTTCTCTTCTTTTAACGGGGGTTTGGGGGCTACAGCATTTCACTCCTTATGTTTCTTTTGGAGGGGTGGGGTGGATAGATAGATATGCTGAATCGTCCTTGACCCCAAATTTAGTTCAGAAAATGATTATTTTCCTTTATTTCCAAAAAATACTGTGTGTTCAGTACAAGGGAAATTGTGGTGCCTCTGCTTCTGTGGCGCTCAAAGTCAGGAGAGAGAATCAAGGTAAACAAACTGTCCCATATAGTGGGGTAAAAGGGGTCTCAGAAGGTTCCCCTGGGATGAAGTGTTTTCCTTGGTTAAGTCAAGTGGTTACAGAACTGGAAATAGAATAAGAACTCCTAAATTTATTGCTGGGAGTACTCAAAAGTCCTTTTCTTTGGCTTCTTCGCTGCATAAACTTTCCTCCTACCACTGTACCACATCGTGACACAGCTTTCTTACTAGCCAAACCTTGAGAAAAATGGGTGCTTGGTTCTGTGGTTTGACTTTTCTCTTGCTTACACTCCATCATGTTTTAGCCTCCCAGAGCTGGGCTAATAGCTGGACCACTTTCTTTTTATGTTTCTGTCTCTTGTTTCCCAAACTTATAAAGTTTGGGGGCCCATTTCATTCTTGAAGTGTCTAATTTAATTTATTGCTTTATTGTGTTCCTTCTGGCTCTTGTTCTGCTTCACCTCTTTAGGTCATTTGGCCCTGAACCCTCCACTGTCATAATTTTTAACACTGACCTAATCAGTTGGGAGAATTTCAGATCCAAGACGTGTGCTAAGAATTTGAATACAGCCAGGAGATTCAGGGAGCAGGTGAGGCTAAGCAGTACTCAGTCCCTTGTCCAGCATTTTCCTTGTGAGGATTAGGCAATAGGTCAGTTGAGGATTTTCACTTCCCTTCTCATGGGCCTTACACTAAGATCACTATTCCTGGAACTCTTCAGAAATGATGGGATCTGTCTGGTGGTGCTCTCAGATGATAACCACTTCCATCGTAATAGATCTTTCCTAAAAGTGTTCTTTTCTGCAAATCTCAGTGTAGCAAAATAGGCTTGTCAATGGGGCAGTCATAAAAAAATAGTTCCCAGGCAATGTATTAAGCAAGTCTTAAAGCTATAGTTGTTACCATTTCAAAGGTGATTTCCCCCCAAAATGTATGCAGCTAGAATGTTCCAGTCTAACCAATATCTCAGGTGATTGCAGATAATCAGATCATAGTCACAAAGACTGGCATAGAACATTTGTTGTAATTTGAGGATTATCTCTACTTCACTTGGTCTTAAGAGAAAATTTGTGGTCCTGAGTAATAAGCAGCACCGGGCAGTTGAGATAGTAAGGCTGAGGAATCAGGCTGACTTGGGTTTAAAACCTCCTGCCTCAACAGCAAATTCTGTGACCTTGCCAAGTCAGTTAACCTGTCTGAGCCTCCTTTTTCTCAGTTCTAAAGGATGAATAATAATATGTCTCTCACAGTTGTTGTGAGGATAAAGTGAAGCAGTGTAAGCAGAATATACCACACGAGGCAGTTGGTAGGTAGACACTTTATATTACAACTTCGTTGCCCCATTTATCTGTAAAATAAGATGATTTCTAAGGTACATCGCAAATCTAATGGTTCTTGACTCTGATTTTCTGTGTAAGTTAATAAAATACTTATTTTAAAGATATATACGCGCAGGTGTGTATATATGTATGTATATGTAACTATGTACAGATACAACTGTGGTGTTATTTGTCATGAATTAATAATTGCAAAATGTCTTGCTGGGCATGGATGTTTAGAGAGCCAGTGGAGAAGGTGTTGTACCAGATAGAGTTCTGTAGTTCTCTTATCTAAGCTTGCTTCATTATTTCAGTCATACCAGACTCTCCTGGGGCTTGTGAAGCTGAGTCACCATCCCCACCTCCTGCTCCTCTACCTCCTGAACCAGTGCCGAAGACTGAGCCAGAGGCTCCTTCAGTCAAGGTACAGCTTTACTGCCATGGTCACCCTCCATGCATCCTTTATTGCCCATGGACCTAAAACTGCTGTGCTAAATCAGTTTGAACGCTTGCTGTATACTTCACCAGGGCCAGTAGATGGCTCTTGTCTCATTCTGCTCTCCTGTGGGTAGTACAGAATGAACATTTCCTCCCTTACTGGAAATGAGATTTTGCTTCAGGGCAAGTCTCAGAAAGGTTGGAGAGGTCAGTCTTGGAATTGTGGAGAATAAGGTTCTACCTGCATCAGAGCAAAATGTGATAGTCGGGTAGAATGAGCAATTTGCATGATTGTCGCTCTTCAGAGCTGTTCTGGAAAAGAAAGGGCTACCTGTGAAAGATTAGCAACAAATGGGAAAATGTAGTTTCCAACAATCTCCAACTACATCTTTTTTACTTCTATTAGCATAGATAATGAAGAATTAAGAAGCTGACTAGCTTTTTTTCCCCTTAAGATTTTCCTTTAAATTTTCCACTAATTTTCTCATTAGAGATAAAATGAAAATTGGTATTCATTATAATACTATTTGACACTAAATGGTTGTAATGTGGAAGAATTGAGGCTAAAATAGCAAGTATCTACAGCAGGACTTGTGCCATGGCAACTTCCAGTCTGGTGTAGGCACCTTCCCTGAGTGCTCCCCTAATACCTGCTTGGCCCTTCCTTTTAAAGCCCTTACTGCAGTGGACCATGATGGTCTGTTTTCCTTGTCTCTCCCCTCCACTAAGGTCCTTACGCTATTTGTCTTTTAAACCATGGCCTGTAACACCCAACAAAAATGTGTGACTGAACACAATTCTTTGCTCAACATGTTGCTTTTTATACACAGTGAAATACGCACATATGAGCATAGCTTGTCTGTGTAGTGGTATCAGATCCCTAGGACATGTATAGAGTTCCTTGTTACTATGGAATCTTGGAGAGTAGTAACGTTACATCCTCTGATCTTTTAGAGCTCAAGTGGGGCAAACAAAAGAAGACGAAAGCGCGTGCTGAAATCCAAAACCTTTACAGATGATGAAGGCTGCATGGGTAAGAAAAGTTTGGCTCTAAATTCAAGTTAGGGATGGTGTATAGAGGTACTGTAACCCCCATAAATCAGTGTGCCCCAGACACTGTGCGCCATTCACCACGGGTGACACCATGCTGCTCATCTGTGACCCACACTCTGAGTGGAGGCTAAAGTCAGAATACCTCGGTTCTTGTTTGAGCCATGCACTGTAAGAATAAACTTTGAGATCTTGGGTAAAAATCATGTCACCTTTAGTAGGGGATTTCTGGGTCAGTGGAATGGAGTAATGTTCATTTTGCCCGTATGCGAAGATTCAACTAAACAATGGAAAAGAAGCTTCTATGATTAGGCTCTGAGGAGAGGTCAGGAGTCTGCTTTGTCATTTGTCCCATTTTTTCTTCAGAGGGGTGTGTCTTCTCCAGAAGACTTAGGTTTCCTAATTGTAAGCCATGTTAGGTAAAAAACAGGTGCTGCTTATGGGAATCTAGAGGGAAATTAGAATTCAAACCTTGCGTTGTTGATTCTTTAGTCACCATTTAACTTGTTCTACCCTTTGCATAATTGAACCAGAGTTTTGTGAGGCTTTTAGGATTTCGCACTTGGGGCCCAATAGGATGCTCAGATCCTGGTATTGTGTTTTGGTGTTTGCAGAGTTGCAGGTTTAAGCTCTTAAGCTTCATATTGGTTGGATAGCTCAGAATCATCATTTTTCCATCCCTGTGGCACTTGCCACAGCTCAACTCTCCTAGAGTATCATTTCCCTTTCTTGATTTTCTATGTCTTAAAAAGTGACTCTAAAGAATCAGCCTTTCCTTGGCAATGTGGTAGTTAAAACTGGTGAAGGCATCTCATCAGCTGTGTGCCCCATTCCATCATTCTCCACTTCCCAGGCCTCTAAAATGGGCTCTCCCTTTTTAATGGTAGCATGTGATTGGGGAATAAAATTCCTTAATAGGGAAATTCTGTCTTCTGAGTGCCAATTTTCTTATAAATGTGAATTCTGGGCTTTGAGTGGTCTTCCTTGTTTTGAGTTTTCTAATAATGCGTTTCAAGTCTCTCGGTTTGACTGTTAGTGGTAATATATGCATTTGCTGTTGAATTTCTTACTTTTAAATTTAAGATGACAAAAATATGAGTGCCAGTTTTTTTTCTTCCTTCTGTCCCAAAAGAATAATGTCAAATATATCTTTGTGAGAGTTCATTGGAAATTTTTGGCTAATTACCTGTACTTTGTTCACAATACAGTTTTCAAGTCTTGGCCAGGTGTGGGATGTGGACATTTCTGTACTCGTGTCTCCAGACAGGACTATTAAGAGCCTTGGACACAACAATGCAAACTGCTCTCACAGTACTTTTTTAAGGTTTTCAGTCCAAATTCAGCCTAATGAATCTTGGCTCCTATTACCAACAAAGAGCTCTGCGTTCCTCTTTCAGCTCAGCCTGTTCCCAGTGTGCCAGCACGCGTGCGTGCCCTGGCCCATACTGGGTCGGAGTTGGTCTGTCAGCTTAAAAAGCTAACATGTGAGTTTACTGTAAGGGCTGGGGAGTTGGGCCTATGAGAAGTTTTGAGTGGACTTCTAGACAAGGTGAATTTCTAAGAGCGAAACAGTTGAGTGGAAAAGAACTCCGGGCCTCCCCAGTGGCGCAGGTGGTTGCGTGCTGCGCCGTGAGTCTGTCCACAGCCTCTGCAGCGCAGGTTTGATTCCCGGCCCGCCAGGGAGATGCCCACATGGCACAGCAGACCTCTCCTGTCATACCCGCTGCTCCCCTCAGCAGTGTATTTCAGTCAGTCTGACAGAGCGGGGAACAGAGCACCTAATATATATATTTATAGTTTTTCAATTTTTGTTAGCCTCTGAATGTCAGGAGTAAGCAAAGTGAATCTTAGAGTCTTGAAAGTAATGGGAGAAACTAGGAACTTAGGGAGGGCCCTGTTAATCATTCAGCTTTAATGGGATTAGATGGATAAGGTGAAGGAATGTTCCTCTGGCAATAGCCAGTTGACCTCCAGCTTGGATCATTGTGAGCAGAAAGATAGTATTGCAGGTACTTGGCAAATGTTATCAGGTGCGTCCATACATTACATGAAGCAGTGTTATCCCCATTTTCCAGGGGAGGGGAAAAGAATGATCCTCAAGGTGTGGTCTCCAGACGAGCAGCATCAGCACATTGCCTGGGGAATGTTAGAAAAATATGACTCTGAAACTCTGGAAATAGAGCCCAGCAATATTCCCAGGATTCCACTGGAAAGTAAGATTTTATTAGTAGCAAGCTAGCTATTAGGATATGGATATATGTGATTACAAAGTCTATATCTCTAGAACAATCAGACTAATGTTTTATTAGAAATGATCAATAATTGTTCTTTAATGGAAAAAATACCTTTCACTTTAGTTATTTTAGTTACTGTGCCTATTTGGTTACTCTGTTAACAAAGAAAAGATGTTTTCCTTTACTGTCTCCGTTGCAATTAGGAAGGTGAGAAAGAATTTAGATGACATTGGTCATTCAGCTACTGCAGCTCTCCAAAGTCACAGGAAGGTGGCATTATGCTGTTGTGGTTGGTGATTGTTGTACTAGTGAATGGATTCTCATCAGTTCTGTAACATTGCCTTTTGGTGCTTCCTTTTGACTGCTCACTGGTATAACTCTTTTCACAGTTTCCACTGGGGAGGGTTCAGTTAGCAGGAGAAGAGGCCAGCTGCGCCTTGGGTTGATAGGAGAGAGCGGTGACTTAGTTTTGAGGAATGGCAGTGATAAGTCAAGGAACAATCAAGTTGGTCGCCTGATAGAATTTGTTTGGGATAGTTTCCTTCACGATGTGCATGACTACTAATGCTTGGGCTAAGTAGGAATTCTGAACTGAGCAAATGAGAAACTAACCAAATTCTGTGTCCTTGGGTCTCGCAGGGAGTGGGTAACATCAGGGTAGAGCTAGCCAGGAGGATTCAAGGCAGCGAGCCTGGCCCAGCAGGATGGGGATGTAAGTAGAGCAGAGATCAAGACCAGGAAAACCACAGTGGAAATAGGCAGGTACTGTAGGTCAGGGAGGTAAGACTGAAGAGGTCAAAGCAGAGAGGTTGAGATGTCTGAGATCAAACGTCTCTGATAAAGAGCTTTGGGAAGCTAGTGCAGAGCGGGGCTCAGGCCCTCGAATACCCGGGGCCCTTTTAGAGGTGTGGGGCACAGCAGTGATGGGGTAAGGTGAGTGTTGATCCTGAGCTGTATCTTAAGGCTGTATAGACTCAAAATACACACTCCCTAGTGCTGGGTCTGACCTCCCAGCGGAGGAGTGCTTCAGGAGGAGGCAAGCACGCCTCTTTTCATCAGTCGGAAGGAAGTGGGGTGAACAAGAGGCCTTGTGTTCTAAATGGAATAGTGTTCTAAATGCCACAACCCACCTGTGTCCTGTTTTTTCCTTATTCTACCAGTAACTGAAAAAGTCTATGAGAGTGAATCCTGCACAGATAGTGAAGAAGAACTTAAGATGAAGACTTCCTCCACACACAGACCCCCCGCCGTTACTCTGAAAAAAGAATCCAGAGAGGAACGAAAAGGTGCCAGAAAAGGCACTGCTGCTCTGAGCAAAGCCAACAGACAAGCATCCATTACTGGCTTCTTCCAGAAGAAGTGAACTGTTAGGTCAGATTGTGGAGTGGTCAAGGGAGAAGACCAAGAAATACTCTCACTTACTGTGTAAGTTCATCCAGCGCCTCACCTCGCCTGTATCAAAAGCCTGTTCCTCCATCTTGTAAGGTTTATACTGCTTCTGGCTTTTAACCAGAAGAATGTTTAAAAGTTGTTACCGTCTGATGACATTTTTAAGCACAATCTTTGACCTGTCCAGGAGAGGAATTTACTCCAGAAATTAATTGGAACAGGTTTCCAAATTATCACTGAAGTGGTTTAGTGGCTAATCCACAGCACCTCACACCACCACTCACGGCTCAGAAAGCATTTCTCCTTGTTCCCTGGTATTCTGCAGATGTGTGTGGGTATCCTCTCGTCCCTGAATTTTACAGGCGGTGTTCATCACTCCCCTGTGATCCCTTCCCAACGCTACCCTTCCCGCTTCTGTGTGAAGCGGTTCTCTGTAAGTCTTCTAAGTCTTGGTTGGACTAGCGGCCGAAACACAAATCTCCCTGTAATCCTCTTTCCTCCGTTAGAAAGTGCACGGACACCTGGCCACAGACCAGCGTATTATTTGCGTTCTGCCACTTTCACAAAAGCTCTGTAGACCTTCACTCACAATTAGTGGTTAGGGAAAAGCCTCAGGCGGAGCACAAATAGAAATGCAATGATGTATTCAAGCCCCCCAGAATTACTTCGAGTCGGCACTGATGATGTTAGAGGACTTGCGTCGCCGACACGGGTGCTTTGTGCTCCCCGTGGTGACTTTGGGCTCCTCGCCGCTCTCAGTACGTAGAGAGAAAAACCCATACAATGAAATAAAGGCTACAAAGAGAAATCCCTTCCTACACACAGCGCACGGTGGGGAGGTAAAGTCTCTCCTCAGGAAGACCGAATGTCAAGAAACAAGTTTTCCGGGAAGGTAATAAGGAAAGAGAAAGCACCCAGATGCTGCTCCTCTGTGGTGTTAACTCTTGCATTTGCTCCCCAGAAGAGATGGAGAGACTGAGTGGTTGGGAGATTTAACCACAAATAAAACATTTTCGTTTACTTGTGGAAAATCGTCTATTCCAGTGATGACTTTTACGTGTCTTCCTTAAGCTGCACAGTGAGCTCCGGGGACGGGAACACAGGCTCCACTGCTGGTGACTCACGGCTGACAGCCGGGATGTCTGGCTCGCGCCTTCCGCCTGAGCCCAGTGTGTGTCGCCAGTGACACAGCCGGCGGCCCTGCCTGCCATGGGTTAGGACCGTGCCTGACCTTGAGCGGGAGGTGTTTTAGCAGCCATCCCCCGGGGCTCTTCAGCCAGGTACCCTGAGGTTTGGGAGATGAGTCCTGGCATCACATCTAGGTCTTGAGAAGACGGAGACTTTGTGCAGCAAGCTCAGTCAAGGCTGACATAATCCAAACCCCTTTCTTTGCAGAATGTAGGAGGATGGAAATCCTGGACGTTAACCTTTACCAAAAACTCCTGGAGTGGGATCTCTGTTAAATGGTTATTTTTTCATTGCCTCTAGTCATTTTCCTAAATTAAAGAGAAACAGCAGTCCAGTCTTTTTTAAATTATGATGCTGGAATCTGTAATAAAACCAAATTTTGAATTGGGAAAATGTGGTGTTGGTTGTATTTTCATCTTTGAAAGGATAATACAAATCCTGTGATCAGTTTGCCCAATACGCTGCGTCTACTCCGAGCTGTCTGCAGGACTAAATTTTATATAAAACTCCACCATGTTCTCCACATGAGCTCAATAAATCTGAGACATTGTTTTAAAACAGTGCTTCCAGCTGAACGCTTGATGAGTCTGTTATTTGACAGGCCGGCAGCAGTGTGTACAGTCATCTAAACTCCGGACGGGAACAGGGCTGGCTTTCCGTTCACACCGTTCAGACTGTACACCCTCGGGCTGAGAAAACACGTCATCTGCTCCCTTCGCTTCCTCACGGGTTCTCAGTTCCCGCCAACCTCACCTTTTCTGTTCATTTAGCGGTGCTAGTCCTGATCTTACACATTGTATTAGTTTGACTTCATCTCTTGCCAGCCAGGTGACCTGGGGCAGATTCCTAAGCCTTAGGTTCTTTATCAAAACAGCTAAAACAAGTTACGATGGTTGTCACGACTGAAGTACTATGGCAGTGGAGATTCAGTGTGACAACAGCATATGGGGGGTGTCCCACAAATGGCTTCCTTCCTGAGGTCACATGATACAGTCAGCTACCAGCTTCCTGAAAGGTTAAGGACATGACCCGCATGTCTTTCAAAGTCATGGTCCTGGCTGTAGTGATCCAGAGGGGAGGACTGTCCTGTTTTATGAGGGGTTTTGGAGAAAGTAGATATTCCCCATGGAAGGCTCAATTTTCTAGTCATTAAAACCTTTGTCATGTAGCTACTGCATGTCAGACCTCTGACCTGGGTGCTAGAGGATCCAGTAGAATCCTAGAGGTTGTCCTGAGGGTCTGGTGAAAGAGAGAAGCCACTAAAATGAAATTCTAACATCATCTGAGTATAGCAGCAAATAAGGAGGGTGGGAAGAGAGGAGGAAAACTTGGAGGAAAGGAAACCGACCAGCTTGGGGATGAGTAAGATTTCACCAAGAAGAAGGGAGAGATTTTCCAGGCAGGAGCGCGCTTTGGCCAGGAAATGAGTGTAGAATTGGAGGCTAGGGAGGAAGATACTGAGAAAAGAACTTGGGGTCCTGATTTTCTTTGAAGACTAAGGGTCAGTTGGAGAATTTTAAGGAGTAAATTCTAAATTCAGGAATGACAGCTGGCAGTCTTTGGTTTTGTACGCCACAGTATTTCTGCCCATGTGCACACTTCTGTCTCTCAGTTCTGGTGCAGTCAGCTCGAGCTCTAATGGCATTAAAGAAAAATGTCATGGTTTAAACAAGGGTGCTTAATTCTGGCAGTCCTCGGAGACAATTGCAGTATTCCCCTTGTCTTCCCCCATCTACTCAGATTTCTCCAGCAGACATGATTTCAGTTTTTAAAAATGATTTCAAAAGCTGATAGTTCTCTGACACCCAGTGATAGGAGCCTCTAGTCACCTCCTGAAGCAAAGCCGAGGGGGTGGGGGAACAAGAGGAACAGTTCTATTCCTTTTCTATCTTTGTTTCTCATTACACAGGAGAGCGCTGAAGAGAAGGTCCATATAAGGAAACTAAATAGTTTGTCCAGGACATGAGTAGAATAAGTGCATAATAATGTATTTGCCAGAAACACACTCTGTGTCAAGACTCGTTTTGGTAAACTTGTCTTCTTTCATTGGTTCCGGGATCTCAGCATGCTGTAATGCAGCTTTTTACCACCATGAAACACTCTGGGGCTGCCTCGTTTTGTTGTGAGAAGGCAGTATTGCTTTCTGAGTTATTGCTCTGGCGGCTCTGTAAATTAGCCCATGCTGTCACCATGCCCTCACTGAAGGGCACATTGTACCCAAATGACTGCATTTAGGACTGACGCTCGCCACTCCCTGCCACATGACACTTCTCACCACTTGTATCTGTGTCCAGTTTTTTGTGTGTTCTTTAGTGTGGGCCACCCACAGATTGCCACCCAGGCGCTTTAGCCAGACAAACTTGGTAAGGCTTCTGATCCAAACCCACCTTAACTCTAGAATTCTCCTATTTTAAACTCTAAATATTGTCTGGCTCCCACTCACTCACCTCTTTGTTCTTGCCAGATTCCTTGTTTCTCGAAGCTTTCCCTTTGGCTTCGCCTCCTCTTTTTTTTTTTTAATGTTCTAAGTTCGTCATGGCTAAGACTTCTTTAACTTCTTTCTTTGGGTAGTCAGGCTTGCTTTCTCAAGGTTCTTATGTCATCTCTTTTACCAGACTGCTGTTGAAGAATGGAAAAATCACACTGCTTAGTATCTGCTTTGGATCATTCAAATCCAAAGCATCAAGAAGTTGATGGGTGCTAGTTACTTTAGTCCTAGCACCTAGGGCTTGCACGAGCTCGGAGGTTACCGTTATGGAGTGGCAGATCACAGATGCTAAGTCTTCACATTATATAGCAGTTGGGACGATACTTAAAATAGTGGTAACAAGTGACTTAATTCTGAAAAGAACTGGGATGATCCTAATGGGCAAAATTGTACAAAGAACAAGGACAACAAAGGATTTAAGACAAGAAACAGGCAAAGGGTCATCATTTTAGTGGATTTTATTTAACTGAACTTTACGATGTATACAATCATGGTGTAAATAAACCATGATTAAGTGAGCCCTTAATAGTTACTTCTGTCTTACCTTCCCTTAAGAATGTCCTACCTTCCCTTAAGAAGATTGTCAGGAAAGCAAGCAGGTACCACGAGGGATTTTAAAAAGTTGCTTTTAGGATAAATATTGGGTCAGCACAGATTCAACTCAATAATGTGCAAGCTGGGTGCTGTGACAGGAACAGCAGGGTGTTCTGGTTTCAATAGCTGTAAGAAAGGCACTGGCCCTAGGAATGTCCTTACCCTCTGAGAATGTCTCTTTCCTCATTCAGTTTACAGAGAGCTACTACCTACTGTAAAGGATTGTTTTAAGGTTTTAAGGAAATACTGCCTGGGCAGCCCCCATTGTCTTTATATATGCTAATACAAAGCAGAATAACTCAGATTTTTTTTTGAGCACCTACTATGTGCTAGGCACTGTGCCAAGTATGTTAGGTGTATAGTTGACCCTTGAATAAGACAGCTGTGAACTACACTGGCCCACTTATTTGCCAACATTTTCATTACAGTACTACAAATGTATTTTGTGATTTTTCCTCTATCATAAGAATACACTATGTAGAATATATGTAACATACAAAATCTATTAATCTACTATCCTATCTGTAAGGCGTCTGGTCAACAGCAGGCTATTAGTTTTAGGGAGTCAAAAGTACATGAGTTTTTGACTGCAGGGTCGTGGCAGCCCTCATTCCCACCTTTATTGAAGGTCCAGCTGTACTGGTTCTTAATTCTCACAGCATCCCTATGTGATAGTTACTTTTATTTCCATTTTACATATGAGAGAACTGAGGTAGAAAAGCAACTTGTTCAAGGTCACAGTTAGCAAATGGCAGAACCAGGATGTAAATCTCACAATTTGGCTTCAGCGTCTGCAATTTTACTACTGTAATCTTACTTACTGTCCTGCTCGTGTCTGTGTTGTTAGTTCACACTTCCCTACTGCCTGATAATGATTGTTTTTATAAGTGAAGTACAGCTAGTATTTCAGATTACAGATTGTCATATAGGAAAGCGATCTTAATGCTTATCTAACTCATTGACCCATCTGGTGAACTCTCTGTAGCGTCCCTGCCAAGAGATCTTACATCTATAAACAAAGATTCACATTCAGGATACCATTCTTACTAAATTACAAAGTTAGATAAGCAGACTAATGTTAAGAAGAATTTAAAGAGGCTAGAATAAAATTTTAAGTTTCCTAATTTTTAGGTCACCAGGAAACTTCTAAGTACAGCATAGTTCCCTAAACAATCCATTTAATCGGTTTCAGTTTAAACTAAGAACAGTTTTTCCTTAAAAAAAGATTATCCAGTTCTTGGCTTTGCCTCTAACCTTTGTAAGAAAATCAAGAGGAAAGTTGGCATATTTTGCCCTGTTTAAGCCATGCGCAGGTTCACAAGCAGAAAAGTGGCCCCATGCATATGTTGCCCAGTGATTGCCCTGCATTAAGTCAAGGCCGCATTCTCCATTTCAAATATCAAAACCAAATTTTGCTAAAACCTGTGTTAAGATGACGTGAACACAGAACAATCACAGTCTGCTTTTCTAGTCTCTCCTGGAGGTGCAGGAAGCAAAATCATTTTCCTGCAAACCATAAACACTGGTATGTTTTCCTTGTCCTTCTTGCGTAGAGTCTGCATTTCTAAGGTACCTTACATTGTCTTATTTCATCCTTGTGATAACCCATAAGAGTTTCCTCTCCTTCATTTTGCAGGAAACAAGCCCAGGTTGTCTAAAACTAATAAGCCCAACATCTCAGTAAGGAGCGAACCAGGGCCAGAACCTCGGACTTCAGACTTCACATGGTGTGACTTCCATTACATGTAGTGCAGCCCCTGGCAAGAAGGTGTTGGTCCATCCCTTGTGCCTCGGAGGGATGCTTACTGATTCGCTGCTGTGACCTACAAGAGCAGCCATGACAGGTCCTCTGTCCTTCCAGACTGACAGCCATTGCAAAGGCAAAACACATGTTGGTGCATTTCAGACTTTTTTTTTAAAAAGATTCGCTGTGTGCCCAGCATTGCTGTGCTCGGTGCTGGAAATGCAAAGATGAATTGCCTGATCTTGAGGAATTTACTTTTTAGTGGAAGGAGAGACATAGACAAATAATTATGTGTTGTTACATCTCTAAGAGTATGCACCAGGGGTCAAAATTTGCACTAGATGTTTAAATACACATTCTCTAATCCTCATGACACTTTTCCTTACAAATGAAGATAGGGAAGCTCAGAGTTTAACTAATTTCCCTGGTAAATGAGAGACAAAGGTGAGAGGTATTTATTTTTAATAATAAATTTATAAAGAATAATTGGACAAACTCAATACTTGAACGGTTCTGACTAGGAAACCTGTAGAGCAAGCAGACTCCCTGTCGGATGGGCATGTGATGAATTGGATGTTGGAACAAAAGGAAGAAAATGGTGATAACTTTTAAGTCATGGATCCCCAATAGGAGTGAGCTCACCAATGATTCAGGCCACTAAATCTTTTGGCTACAATCATTTGAATCCATCTTTGTTTAAGGAAAGCCACATTACTGGATTATACATTAGGCTAGAGA